GTGTCATTTGTCAATCAAAATCGAATTAAAAACTTTTTATTGGGTCTGGTTATCTCGCCAAATTCTTAACTGAATCGTTTAGTAGCTTTTGATTGGGCACTGCCCACGTTGTCTGTCAAACTTTTTGTGTCAACGAGAAGAGGCTGCTGACATCGTTTGTCGCGGTTAGATAATACCAATCCACGTCCCAGTGTGGCTGCTCGATCGCACTTTCCCTGGCCCACCTCTCCCACCAGGCTAGGTTTTGCCCGGCACAGCCCGCACAGCCGTCGCTTCAGTGCCTCGGGCGGTGACCCGTGCAAAGGGGCTCACAATTCGTATAGTGCCGTGGCTCTCAAACCAACACAGAACGGTGAAACGCACAGGCTAACCTTCCATATAAGGCGAACGGCTGATTCTGGCGCCGGGGCTTCATTCATGCTAAGGCGCCCAATCACAGCGCCGCATTTCAGTTAGTGTCGGGCGCAAAAGCTGCTATGCTCCGCCCCTCCATCACGTGACCCTGCCCTCACGTGGCCTCAGTCACGTGGTGTTTCCACTTCTTGGCGCATGGCGGCGCTAGTCTCGCAAGGGCGGTGGTAGCTTGCTCCCCCGCCGTCCGGGGGTGATGGGTAGCAAGTGCTGGTGACTGTACATGACTGGTATATGTACACTATAAGGAGTTTATATTTTATTGTGCTGCTCTCATGATCAACTGCTACAATCCCAAAAACATCATGAGGCACATCCAAAAATGCATTAGCATGCATCAGTCATGTATGTCTCTGTAGGTATCAATTTGTGTGCATGCATGTGAACATCAACAACAAACTGCCCCACACAGTTTTTAAGTGCATTAACCCTCGCCGGCGCAGGCCATTTTGCGTCCTTTAACGTCACAAGGGGGGGGGGGATGGTTGGTACGACCCCCCGCGATTGGCCCCTAATAAAGCTAGAGCTTCGCGAAAAAACGAGTGTGTTGCCCGTCACGAGAGGAAACCGATGATACCCAATTTCAAGGTCCTATGTCGTCGGTTGAACTTCCATGTCAGGTCAATGACCCACATGTCGGGAAAATCGGGACCTATTAGAAAGTCGTAAAGTGTGGCTGCTATGGGGTTTTTCGGGGTGCTGATCACGAATATCATGTTTGTTTTGATCACAGATCATGTATTTAAGCATTTAGACCAGGTCGGGTCAGGTCAGGTCAACCAGTAGGGGTCGTGCGGGGTATTCGTAGTACGTGTCAACCGCCCCTGACAGCTTCGTAACACGTTACAATACGAAGGCACCAAAACCAAAACTAAATGTTCAAATTTTTGCTAAATTCGAATTCAGCTCGAAAAACTAGCCTTGAATGAGTTGAAACATATAAAACTCGAAAAAGTGAACCGAGGTCACCAAAGGTCAATGACCTGACTTGACCTTCAGTGACCTTGACATCCACCCTAATGCATGGGAGCAACATCAAATCACATGTTTGAACGTTTGAAACCACGAAAAGCTTGCAAACGCGCGGCTAATGCGAGCCGACATACGCCGAATGGCGATTCCGGCCAAACATGGCCTCGGAAAGTAGGTCACAGGTCAAAGGTCATTTGGGTCAGGTCATGAAATTTTCAGGGTTGGTGTAAAATTGATCAATGCGAGGGTACTTAAAGTTTCGTTGTGATCGGCCACTTTTTACGCGAGTTATTCGCGAAAAACCTTAGGGAGGTGCATCCCCCTGTGCCGGCGAGGGTTAAAGCCCTCGCCCGCACATGCCATTTTCCCATCCTAGAACGCACATGGGGGGGGACGTGGTTGCCACCCCCCCCCCCCCGCGCCATTTCGTTCCTGTTGGAGATAGAGCTTCGCGGTAAAGACCAAAAAAATTCTTTGGGAAGAGACAAGTCCAATGATACCCAGTTTTACCTTCTCAGGTCAGTCATTGACCTTCCATGTCAGGTCAAACTAAAAAATGTTGCTGTTTTGGGTCACCGTTGGATATCAAGTGCGCTGCTTATCATATACCGATGACGATGCCGTTTTCTGGTGCCAAGCCAGCTAGAACATCTTTGTCACACTACCCGACCAGGTTTTTGCTGCTGAGGTCATTTCAGGTCAAGTTAGGTCAAGGTCAATATGTGTTTGTATGCCTGTGTGTGTCTGTGTGTATACTGATGTGTGCACCGATTGTTTATGTCAGTGTTCATGTTACATGAAATCATGATCTGAGCTAAGAGCTTTTACGAAAATTGCAGTAAAAAATTCACGAAAAGTAAATTCAGCTTGCCTAAAACGCAATTATTTTAGATGACCTAGGTTGACCTTGACCTTGACATCTGCTCTCACCACACACACAGAGTCCAGCACTCTACTGACTAAGCTACAGGGCTGGCTAAAAATTTAAGACGTTTACCTACCTATCAAATTCAAAAAAAAAAAAAATGTTGCCCTGTTGAACTCCTGTATGCTGATACAGGGAATACTTTATACCTAAATAGTTAATTGTGGCATCTATGTCAAAGTTCAGGACATTGACGACCGACATCAAATTCCATGAAATCTGATGAGAAGCAATTGTAATTGAATACAGACAAATGATGAGATACTGATAAAAATGTTTTCTGTAGTAGAAATGGATCGCTTTCAGTAACTCAGTGCCAGAGCTGGGCATTGGCTCATGGCTGGGCTACCGAGCCCAAAAGAGTTGTGGAGTTGCGAGTTGCGGAAGCAAAAATTCTCAAGGGCAACCGCTACCACCGAGGCCACCACTGAGATACCACTGAGATAGATATGAGTATGAGATAGGTACAGGATTTAAGCGAGATACAGGTTCCACCGTTCCAGGGCAAGTTTATGGTATTTATCTCATCAAGACTTATCAATTGATATGCAACATGAACTCTTTGGGTCAGGTTGTGACCTTGACCTAAGGTCAAATTTTCAATTTGAGGTTTTGGGGTTATCTTGTATATAATTGATGACCTCCAAACACCACCCCTTGAGAAATGCTATGGTGATGCGATTACATTATTGACCTAGCGTTATTTTATGAGAAGGTATGCCTAAAAAAACTAGTTCCGGCTATTTTGACAATTTTTTTACCCCTGGCTGGAGGCCAAACCATTGACTTGAGGCTGACATCTTTATTCAGATAGTGTTATAAATGGGCTTTCACTTCTTTTTTCCGTGCCGCTCTAGCTCTTCTGGATCTTGAGTTAGAGCGTCTGAAACTGAAAATTCTCCAAATCCGGGAAAACCTGGAACATTTTACTTTGTTCATCTCTGGTAATGTTCAAAAGGTACTACCTATCAGACATAACACTGCACTTCAGGACTTTAACTGAAAAAACATAGGTACCTAACAGAGGCTGGTAGCAGAGTCGTGGAGTTGCGAGTTGCGGTCTTACGATCTGCAAAATAGGTGGTTTCAGAGTTGCGATTGCGCTTTGGGTACCTCAGGCTGGGGAAGGTAGCGGTAGCGGTTTCCAAATTTCGGTAGCGATGCCCACCTCTGCTCACTGCAAAAAAAAAGAAGCAAATGACAAACATGCCCTATTATTATCTGATTTCGGGCCAGACTAGAAAAAATACACGTTATGCCGAATATGTCCGGCGTAGTGGCGGAATTGCGCCGAAAATTTCAGCGCACGTCCGGCGTAACTTCGCATGCGCCGAATTCAGCGCATGGCGGCGGACGAATTTTTCGGCGCAGGGCTGTCGCATAATATTTTGGCGAAAGACGGTCACCGAATTTATGCCTTACGCTGGTCAATCTAGCAGCAGATTCGCCCCGCGGGCGGCTCTGGAGAGGTCGCGGGACGAGACGTCCCCGCCCCGTCCGTCCCCGCCCCGGTCGTCGCGTGGTCGAACTGGCGAGCCGCCCTGAGTCTATTCAGCGGAGGAACGGCCGCCCAGGTGAGGCCTCAACCTTCGGCGTAGAGATAGGTATGGAAAACCTTGTTGAACGTCGCCAAGCGTCGTTAAGCAATAACAGTGGGTTCCTGCCCACTGCAGTATCGAGGGGAATGAGAGCGCGGACGACCTGGCAAAACAGGCAGCCGCCCTGCCCTCAAACGCCCGATCGCTGACCAGGGCGGTTCTTTGTGCGGCCTCGCATCAGGCCTCGCGACAACTGCTCAGAATCACTATCAAGCCACTCCTCGGGAGCACGCCGCCGCTCCCTATCCCCGGAGAGGACCGAGAGGATACCATTTCGGTGCACCATATGAGGGCGGGCCACCGCCCACCGGGGCCGCTCGCTCCAGTACGGCAGCGAATCGGCTGTCTCCACTCCGCTGCGTGCCAGCAGTGCCCAGACAAGCGGCACCCAGCGGCGCTTTGCACCGTGAGCCAAGAAGAGGCTGATGTGCCGGAGCACGTGCTGCTCCGCTGCCCAGCACGGCCCTCGCTGGCTCCCGCCAAGGAATTGGATTTACATGGAAATAAAAAGCTCATTCGGACGCTCAAACATGGGAGAGCGTACAAGGCCCCGAAACACTCTGACTGGTTGATATAGCCTTGATCAGCATGTAGATGTGCACATGTGCTTTGCATGAAAAGGGCTTACTTTTCGCACAAACAGGCACTAATTTTTGACGCAAATCACGCAGAAATTTCGGCGTAAAATCGCTTGCGCCGAATTTCGGCGCAAGAGGGTCTCACGGGCGTCCGGCATAGTGTATGGATGTTTTTCAGTCTGGATTTCGGGGTTATGACGAACTTCGTCATTTACGCCGAAGTACGCCGAAAATTTCGGCGCAAGCCGTCGATTTACGCCGAAGTACGCCGAAAATTTTCGGCGCAAACGCCCAACTACGCCCGAGTTCTCGACGAAAGCGTGCATTTTTTCCAGTCGGGTCAGACGAAGGTGCAATCACCATTACGGCTCTTTTTAGAAATTAAAACGACTCAAAGCCGAGTTTCATACAACCAAATAACGGAAAAAACATTGCATACTAGTTATAGAATCTCTAACACCACGAAAAGAAGCAACATAAATAAAATATCGATGGAAGTCCTATTCATTCACTGACACCTGTCTGTTGAATCACGGTCATAGAATACTAGAACAGGTGTTGAATAACACCTGTTCCTGTGTGTTGCCGCGGATGCGTTGTAAATATCTCTATACCAGGCACTGTTCGCTCGCAACTTTATTTTATTAGTATGCTGCAGTTTCTCGGCTTCTCATTGGTGACATTCACAATGCCAATGCAAAGCACCAATAAGATGCTGAGATATGCAGGCAGCTGGCTTCCATATATGGCGAAATCGGCATACTGCTCATAAAATGAACAGAGAAAAAAGCCTGCTCGATATGAAATCTTCCTTTTTAAAAATGACGTCAGTGGCTTTTATCCAAACAGCGAATCAAAGCTCTTTTTCAACAAAGGTCTCTTATCTCCAAGTTCCAACACTACCCCAAAATGTAACGTCAGCTCCTGGCAGGGTGCCAAGAGCGGATGGCGGCGTGGGCGTGCTGCTCTCGGCCGTGAAACACCGCCTAGTTGAGATGATTCCATGGCGTTTTTTTTCGTCTAGCAGATTTTCGTCCGACTTTTCTTCGTCTGGCATTTTTTCGTCTGTACATTTTTTTCGTCTGTAAACTTTTTCGTCCAGACTTTTTTCGTTCGTATATTTTGAACTTATATGTTATGTTAACATCGCGGGTGCACACTCTGATAACATGTGATAACACTGCCAAGAACAGTCCATTTCATGTAACTATAGTCTGAGTCTAAGTAGACGCACGACTCGCAAAGTCTCAGGGTCTTAATGAGCTTATCTCTTTTGCCCATTGTGTAGGTTGCCTCGCTCCTTGTTAGAGGAGACTTACTTATGCGCCAAGAGTTGGTCTGTTTTTTAACCCTCGCCCGTATTGGTGTTTTTCCAGACGCGAACGTATAAGGGGGCGGGGGTCCGTTGGACCCCCCCCCCCCCTTGCCGTTTCGTCCCTGATCGAGCTAGAGCTTCGCGGAAAAAAACGAGCGTGCTGCCCGCGACGAGAGGAAGCCGATGATACCCAATTTTAAGGTCCTAGGTTATCGGTTGACCTTCCAGGTCAGGTCAATGACCCAAAAGTCGGGAAAATCGGGACCTGTTAGAACGTCGTAAAACGTGGCTGCTATGGGTTTTTTCGGGGTGCTGATCACGAATATCATGTTAGTTATGATCACTGATGATGTCTTTATGCATTGAGGCCAGGTCGGGTCAGGTCAGGTCAACCAGTAAGGATTTTGCCGGGTATTCGTAGTAGCCTCTGACAGCTTCGTAACATGTTACGAAGGCACCAAAAATGCTTCGTAAATGTTCAAATGGTTGCTAAATTCGAATTCAGCTCCAAAAACTAGCCTAGAAACATGTAAAACTCGAAAAAGTGAACCGAGGTCATCAAAGGTCAATGACCTGACCTGACCTTCCGGTGACCTTGACACCCACCCTAATGCATGGGAGCAACATCATATCCCATGTTTGAACACTTGAAACCACAAAAAGACTGCTAACGCGCGGCTAATGCGAGCCGACGTACGCCGAATCGCGATTCCGGCCAAACATGGTCTCGAAAAGTAGGTCACACGTCAAAGGTCATTAGGGTCAGGGTCATGAAATTTTCAGGATAGGTGTAAAATTGATTATCGCGAGGGTACTGAAAGTTTCGTCGCGATCGGCCGCTTTTTACGCGAGTTATTCGCGAAAAACAGAGGGGGTCCGTTCGACCCCCCCCTATACGGGCGAGGGTTAACCCGCGCCCTGGTGGGGTCTGTTTATAACGCGACCTGGTGGGGGGGGGGGCTATTTTTTGCCCCCCCTCGTATCTCCGAAACTACTGGACGGATCCGCGAAATTCAAACGGCGTTCGAAAGGCCTGTCAAATTTGTCGGGGGAAACCAAATTTCATTGACCTCGGGGTCACCGATGACGTCACAGGTCAGGTCAAAGATGAAATGTTTCACCGTTCATGGGTCATCTAGGGAATGCGCTATAACACCGAAGAAAACGCATTTTGTCGAGAATCAGCGATATGGCGTCAGTTGCCTAGTACATATGTTGTTATAAGAGGTCACTGACATTACCAGGTCAGGTCACAGGTCAGGTCACCAAGGGTCACAGGTTCACATGAACCTAACTTTAGGTACTAAGGTTGTGCGATGCATGTTTTATGGCCAATTTTTCATTTCCAACTCAATGGTGTTGGTTATAAGACTATCAGGTACGGCTTAGGTCACTTTCTGGTGAAGGTCAGGTCAAGGTCAGGTCAAAAAAGGTCAAATTTTAAAGTTGATGGTTTTGCATAAAATGGGTATTGATTCGATGCAGCTCGTCACGGGGAGTCTAATGGTGGTCTTTGTTTTGCGCTACGAGGTCTAGAATTGCTAAAAATTGAGTTTGAAAATTTGACGTCATCAATTTTGAACCGTTTTTTCGCTATAACTTCGCCAAAAAAAGAGGTATCAATCTCAAATTTGGTATGTGGATAGAAGGCGGTAAGGACTATCACATATATTCCGGTTTTTGCGAAATTCGAAAAACTTTTTGGATTTTTCGGCTATTATATTCAAAAAATCTATTTTTTTATTTTGGGGGGTCAAAATCCAAAAATTTCAAAAATCCGAGATAGCAGTTTTGTAGCCCTGTCAATTTTACAGCTTTTATGTCTTTATCGTTTTTCTGTATTTGCAAAGCTATAGGCCTGACAGCTCTTCCTGCGAAACCCTTTTTTGGGTCGAAAACGGCAGAACATGACGTCACTCTGACGTCATTTCCGGCCAACCTATCATAGTCTTTGGAAAAATTTTTGGTCACAATGTGTAAAATTGATGTCCGGGAGGATACTGAAAGTTTGGTGACGATCGGCGCAGCGGTTCTGGAGATATATCGAAAAGTCTGGAGGGGGGGCAAAAAATAGCCCCCCCCCACCAGGGCGCGGGTTAAGCATGTCCGATTTAAAAAGAACGACTGAACGATCTAAGCGTGAATTTAACTGAGCGGAAACTGAGCTAAGCTGAATTGAGCGGAAACTGAGCTGAGCTGAACGGGAACTGAGCTGAGCTGAGCTGAGCGGAAACTGAGCTGAGCTGAGCGGAAACTGAGCTGAGCGGAAACTGAGCTGAGCTGAGCTGAGCGGAAACTGAGCTGAGCTGAGCTGAGCGGAAGCTGAGCTGAGCTGAGCTGAGCGGAAACTGAGCTGAGCTGAGCTGAGCGTGAGCGGAGCACAGCCGGTTTGAGCGGAGCGTGAGCTGAGCTGAGCCGTGTTAAACTGAGCGGGAGCTGAGCGGGAGCGGATAAAACGGAGTTGAGCTGAGCGAGCTCACTTTTTTCTTGAGCTGTCACAAGTCTGCAAAGGTGTTGACAAATATTTGGACTGATTTGTGCCTCATTTTATTTAAACATGATTTTAACTAACTCATTCAACCATTTTGAAGCAAAAATAATATAATTTATTATATAATAATATAATAAATAATAAAATAATATATTTATATACACTGTGAATATAATTATTTATATACACTGTGAATATAATGTTACCTATGAAGTGAACCAATTCTAAACAAAGGGTTTGTTCCCGTCGCTCCTCTAACCTCCTCCAAGCTCCTCTAACCTCCTCTCGTTTCAAAAAATCGTTCCCGTCGCTCCTCCAAGCTCCTCCAAGCTCATCTTGATTTCACATCTCACCACCACTATTTGCCTCCTCCCTCATCCCAAACGAAAGTTGGTTTTTTGGAGGAGGCTCTTGCGTAGACATATTTGGCGCACGTAATACAAATGTGAATTGTTTATAAATGAGATTTAAGGGAAGTGGAAATGATTTTAGTGATTGATGACGATTGGATATCTTTAAATAGTAATGTTTGATATTAATCTAAGGTTATTTTATTAGAAAGCGATTATGATCTCTTGAGTTATGTTTGCGCGCCATAAATCGCCGACCGTTAGAGTCCGCAAACAGCTGATTTCCTCGCGAAAATGTTCCCGTGGCTCCTCTGAAACGGCTCTCCTCCAAGCTCATCCAACCTCATCCGAGATTTTTTGGGAGGAGCGACGGGAACAGACCCAAAGACTGACCGACCCCAGACATCTTACCATTGAGTTTCTATGAGGTCACTATATATCTCACTGAGGATGTTTGACAAAATCAGCCCCCTCCAAAGTCATATGGCAGCATGGGCGTGACTTTTCCTACTAGCCCATAGGGTTGCGTGTTAAAATGCGACTTTTCGCGCTCGGTTTTCAAGGTTTCGTAGTGTGGGCATCCACATACGAAGTATGTCAAAAGATAGCTACAACATTTTTATTTCCATTTTTGGGATGAAAAGTTCAAGCCCATCCAACCGTTTTCGAGATATTCGTCCATATATGACCCCATGTTTTTGATACATCGGAAGGTCCTGTGTTCGAATCTCGGACAGACCAAAACTTTTATCGTTAATGTGCGGCAAACCATTGCTGCAAAGTAAAGTAGGGGTGAGCGCGCTGGTGATGGATGGCTGTAAGTTGGCATACCTGACCTTTGATTCAAGCCGGATTTTGTGGCACCAACCTCATTTTCAGGTCAGGTCAGGTCACTGACCTATGACGTCATAAGTGAACCTCTGCACTGTCTCAAAAACGTCGTAACATAGCAACTCCATCAATTCAAGGAAATCTATCACAGGTAGATGAAACTTACAGAACTTATCAAACTCCCTTATTCTAAAAAAAGTCGTTAACTTCGGATTTCTCCTAAGGGTCACCTAACTTCAGGTCGGTCAGGTGATCTGGCCATTATAAGCCGATGGGGGGGGGGATATAGAGACAGTTATTTTGGCGCCGACAGTGATCTTAGACGGAAAAGACACAAATAGACTCAGAAAGACCTGCCAAATTGAATAACGTGCAACTTGACCTCATCATGAGGTAATGACCTGACCTGACCTTGGACGGAGGTCAACATCCTAAATTGACCTCACCCATACAAAAAGCATATCATTCGACGTGGCTGAGCATCACGAACACGATGGTGTCAAAATTGCAGCTCTGATACCATTTTAGGCGACCACCGAACAATCCACTTCCTGGTATGCCAATGCTTTTATTATCTAAAGACGATGAATACTGAACATTGTCATATATGCAAACATGCCACTTTGGATTACAGAGTAAGTGGTTCCCAATCGTACATACTACACGTTCCACACATCACACTACCGCTCGTAATTGCAATGCTTTGGCTCGTTGGAAATAAATTTTGGCATTGGAAGATGTCACGGTGTTACACTAAACATTGACCACAATTAGATATCAGGTATCAATATCAGTAACATTCAGCTCATCATCAACACATAACAATCAGAAGGAGAACACTACCTACAGTAAACCTCAAAGAGGTTTTGGCCATGGTAGGCAATGAGGCATAGCTGCGAGCAAGATCTTCGATCTGAGAAAACATGAAGATGAAATTACATGCATCACACTTGCAATAAAAACAAACTCAAGTGATACTTATCTTTGAAAAATTAGGATGAAAGAACATGAACCTATTTGAAAACATAACAAGCATTATCAGAGGAATAATGCATGGTTATTTAAAAGACCTGTTAATTAAGGTAGTGGATTGTTAACAGGATCTTAGAATGGTCGAGAGATGTTACCTTCAGAAGGGTTTCCTTTCGTGGTCACACATTGATGTTAACAAATGAACACCGGGTGGTGCACAGCCTGAAAGTCACAACTTCACACAAGCTGTTGTAGATGTTGAAAACTAGGCTTCCTTCCTGTTCAGATTAAGACAGTTGATGGCACCTTTGGTTAGCTTTGTTCAAGGAAGCATTCATTTTGCCAGTGTCGGTAGGGCAGCCTTGCTACATATAGGAATCTTGAGTCAGGCACATCATATGTAGTAGTGCATGTCTTGTCCTGAAAAAGGATCAGAGACATATGGCTAAGGAAGTCATGAATGGAATTGACTCAGGCTGCTCTGAGGATGATTGACCACAAAGACATGGCTATTGTGAAAGCCCTGAAATAACTTATGAACTGGTGTGTTTTGAGTGAAGTGGAATATCAAGAACAGCATTAAAAAAGAAAAAGTAAAAATTGACCTAAAAATTATCTTCCATGTTAAGTTTCAATCGCCTAAATCTTACGCGTTTTCATACAAAATTAAAATACCAAGAAATTGCACAATTATCACTAACATGTGGCAACAAATGCTTCTTTCTACTTACTATCCACTTTCATGGATGCAGGATGCATGTGTTTTGATTTCATTATCACAGCAAGACAGTTGTACGAGATGCTTACACTAAGTATTATGTTATATGTTGATGTTATTCAGCTGGAGCCTGGGACAGTGATATTGTATTGTTACGTTTGTTCAAAACCAATGTCCCAAAATTTGCCAGTTTTGGGTGGGAGGTGACATCCAACTGAAATCAATTTTCCACTTTCAAATCATCTCCAATTTTCAAGAACAATTTTTCACTCTGAAATAAAATTTTGGGACACTGATCACTGTTCATAACACCAGCTTCATTTCTTAGTAATGATAGCTTTCAGAAGACTTCAGTCATCCTTCATCAGCCTGGCAGGGCTCTAAAAATACATACAAACGAGTAGCGACCAACATAGAAAAGACAATACACAAATGGCGTACAAAAGCTGCCATTACAAATAGATAAAGCCGGTGTACGCAATCTTTGCAATACAATTATACCAAATATGCTCACAGATAAGTCGAAAGGTGTCGCCATGCATCACAATTGATTCCTTGAAACTTCTTTTGTAACACATCGCTACGCAACAGTGAAAGAATGAGAAAGCATGAGGCTGGCCCACCACCCAGTCAAGTTGAAGTACAGCAGATTGCAAATTTGTACACTGTTACTCAGAAAGGCCTTTGTTCACACAATTCCATGCATAATGAAGAGCCAATTTTTTAATGCACACGATAGTTATTTAATACTTAGCCAGCACAATTTGTAAGTCTTTAAATGTAGGGAGAACGCCATGGAACCGCGTGAAACCACAGGCCGCCGTGTGTATAAATATGAAGCGCAATGTATTGAAACACGAGCGCCAGCTGCGCCGCGCTTCAGCGCAGCCATATCCTAGGATAATTTTCGGTATATAGTAAAAAGCTCCCAGTTCTAGTTGTTTTTCTAGAGGATATAGTATAATTCTAGTATATACTAGGAAAAACTTTGGAGTACCCGACTCTTTAGTGCCCTGGACAAAATATTAGATCAGTAGGCATTTGAAGAGGGAGTATTGACGAAAGCGGCGCAGTCAGTTTGACGGGTAGGGGTTGTGGTATTTTTAAGCTTTTTTTGGCGAATTTCTGGTAGTTGAGCTTTTTTGTGCCGTCGTTAATGTTCACGATTGAAGCGTATTTCGAATGATATATAAATTGTATGGCATACATCGATAAGATGCGAAGGGTCTTGTAGTGGCGCGTGAAAACGAAAGCATTTCAATTTCCCAAAAAGAAACTTTTGCAGGTACCTAGTCCTTCATTCTGAAAAAATTTGGGTGTTGGTAGATTTGGATACCTGCTTGAGGTGGGGAGCTCAAACGCATTTCCTCAACAGCAGAAAAGTTTGAGGCAGAGGGGCTAAGCCCCACATTCCATAAGCCTAATGCCATTTCCATGCCCATTGCTATGGGTAATGGGATTATGATGACCCCCCCCCCCCCCCCCACCACTGAATTTAGCTGTATTATCAATTTGTGTCATTCTTACTGTGCTGATTTAAATGCTCACGAAAACTTGAGGGTAATGCATCTGATCCAGGGGTGACTTGACTGGTCCGTACTGCTGTCCAATGCTATGCACCCCTTTGTTTTTTCCTTGTTGCATGCATTGGGGAAAAGGCAAAGTGTCAACTGAGTATACTCAGTAGGTATACCATAGGTATACCTATGGAATGGATTGGGGGCTTGAGCCAACACCACTTTATCCTCAGAAAGGGGTAAGGGAGGGACTGGAGAGGAGCGTTCATACCTGTGTATGTATCAAGGCAAGGGTAAGGAACTCCAGTTTACATTGATTTGATGGTTAGTTATCTGGTGATTTCCCCCCACTTCTTCAGGTATGCTGATCAGTTGCTGCTAGGTATGCTTTTTGTGTGAAGTTTGCCTTTTGTGTGGCAGACTTGCAAGTAATAAAAGCTAAGCCATTGCTTGTGCTCTATATACGCGCAGGGTCATATCAATATGCTCAGGAACTTCAAATGGAGATGAATTTGGAAATTGAAACCTTAGGTCCTTTCAGAATTCAGATTGTCATATTGGTGTCCTCTTTAACTAGCATGGGGCTCTCTGAAGCTGGTGTGGTCCACTGTGACTGACAAGTTGTCTTTTCACACAGTAAGAGGGAGTCAGTCAGTTAGATGGTTTGAGGCCATTTCAGAGTGATGTTGGCTTCCCGAAATGTGGGGCCTCTGCAGTCTGAACTGAACCCCCACAGACTGTATGAGCTCAAGCCCTGGGCTGGATGCTGTCATCCCAGCAGGAGCTCTTGCAGCTTTCTGTTGGTAACCTGGGTTGGCCAGATCTGCACATCGTTGTAACTAATCTTTGGTATGCACCAGCAAATGTAATAGCAAATCAGAAGAAACAACATATTATGCATAAGTCATGTTACAGTTCAACCCATGGGTTTAAATAAAGAGCGATGCATGGAGTCAGAGTCAGGCCTGCAGCAATACTCATAGTGTGGAGAAAATTTGAGTCACTACTTCAAGTCAGCAGGGTGAACATGATTAGACATGAAGTTAATAATTTTCACTTTGCCTTGACCACTGACTTTATCAATTACTTCAAGGTAGACAAAGTTCAGTTTTGCCTGACTGTTCACCACATATATCAAATGCCATTGAAATTCTTTGAACTGAACCACTTGTGTTGGACATAGGGCCAGGCTCAGAGTAAGCTCTGTACTCCCCTATCCCCCAGTTAACTTCACTACAAAATACACCAAAAAATGGGCGCAAAATGACTACCTATGTGACTACTATTGCTTTGCTAGCACACCCTTATACCCCGATAATTAAGCAAAGTAATACACTGAAAATGCAGTCAAGCACATGTTATGTTTTAAATTATGTTTACCATTTACGTTTGCTTTTGTTTCCAGGCAATTGTCAACATCAGTGATGGATGGTGGACAGATTTCAACACCAGTCAGAGGCCAGTGCTGCATGCTCTGCTATAGACCATTGTATGGCACTGGCATCAGCATTTACCACACAAAGTGCTACCAGACTGATAAGAGCCTCTATGCCAGGCTGATGGAAGTGACAAATGTAAGTTGGCTTGTATGTTTTCCACCCTTAGTTTGTTACGCTTAATATGATAGTAGCTTCCAAATTTTGTGCACAATTGCTATTTCTGATGGGGCACGGGTTGGATAGGTGGCTACCCATCCATGACTCAATCTGCTCATTCAAAATTACAACTCCTATTCAAACATGTGATATGTTCACTATCCAATGTTTATCGCATCTCTCTATTGCCTGTTTCAGTACACGTCCAGCATACCGCAGTTGGCGAGTGACATGATGTGCAGCATCTGCTACACGATGATCAGTCAGTCGGACCAGCTGGGCAGCCAGCTGGGCCAGGTCACCAGGCACATCCGCGCCCTGTTCCATCAGATGGTGCAGCGGCAGACGGAGGTGGCGCGGCTGAGCCTGAGCCGGCCCGCGCCGGACGGCCGTCAGTCCGGTACGTAACCGACCGGGCCAGAGCTGACCCGATCACCCAGCAAACTCTGCAGTTAGCTACTACCTCTGGTGGTGCTGCTTTTTCGATTGGTGATTCAGATTAATTCATTTTGTTTTTTAAGCTTTTTATTGTAGAGATTGTATTGTAATAAAATGTTGATTCTTGTTCTAGATCGGCGAAAACTGATATTTTGTTTGTCGCTGGTATGTCGTTATCATCTTCTTTTTTTTCAATAAAAGTGTATAGCCGCTGCGAATAAAAGCGTTTCTGCTCTCTGCTTCATCATTTATCAGACTAACTAGAGCTTAGTTACGCTACTAGTTGTTTTATATGAAAACGGTCCGAATTCGTCCATATTTTTAGAAGTTCCTGATTCCTGACCCCGCGGTTTTTTATGCCGCGGTCGTGGCTAGCTGTACTCGCCTCTAACCCACCGACGCATATCTATCTGCAGAGGCGGCTGTCAGCGAGGCGCGGACCGCCGTCAACGGCACAGTCCCGCCGGCGGTGCTCAGCCCGCCGGCGACCTCCCGACCGGAGCCGTCCCCGGAGCAGAGGGCACCCACCAACCTGCAGACCTTCAAGAAACCCACTGAAGAGGTGCGTGACGCATCCCCAGCCCGTGTGCTGCTCCTTGCATTGCCGGTATCCGGGTGTGTCTTCGGTGTACGCTTGCGTACAATGCAGCCAGTGACATGATTTATACGTTTGTGTGTTCTCTGACCGCAGGAAGCTGTCCGGCAGCCTGCGGAGGCGGCCCAGCGGCAGTCCTGGCCGACGTCCAGCCCTGAGAGTGGTGATGGCGGCGGCCTGCAGCCGGCGGGCGCCTCCAGCAGCGGCCAGAACGAGGAAAACTCCCTGTTCAGCCTGAGCGCCTTCCTGCAGTCCAACCTGCGCGACACGGCGGGTGGCGGTGAGCGGGCCTCCCGCCCGCTGGCCCCCGCGCCCACCGTCACTCAGACGGGCGACTTCACAGACAAGTTTGTGCGCGGCACCGCCTCCTCAGACGCCTACCGGTACCAGTGCGTGCTGTGTCAGAAGCTGGGCGACTGCGAGGAGGCCGTGCGCCGGCACGTGCGTGCCGACCACCCGGGCGCCGACCGCATCAGCTTCCCCGAGTCGGCGGCGCAGAAGCGGCCGCGCGCGCCGTCCAGCGGCGGCCCCAAGCCACCCAAGATGCTGCGCTCGATCACGGCCACGGCGCCGGCCATGGCGCAGAACATCGCCGACCGCGCCTACGTCTGCGTCAACTGCGACAAGGCGTTCGGCTGCGAGGCGTTTCTGGCGCGTCATGTGGAGGCGCAGAAGTGTGGCCAGCTGTTCGGCTGCCAGTACTGCGGCAAAGAGTTCACCCGCTCCGATAAGAAGGTGCGCCACGAGCGGTCCCACACAGGCGAGCGACCCTACAGCTGTGAGTACTGCGGCAAGGCGTTCTCACGGCGCGACAAGTGCACCAAGCACGAGCGGACCCACACCCGCTGCCAGCCGCTCGAGTGTCACAGCTGCGGCGAGATGCTGTCCACCACCTCCGAGTACACTTCCCACCGGCGGCTGTGCGGCGAGCGGACGGCGGCGGCCGCGGCGGCAGCGCGCGCCGCAGCGGCCGCGGCCGCCTCCGCCGGCACGCTGTCGCTCTCGACGTCGGCCTGGCCGCAGCCGCTGCCCCAGGCGCCGCCGCCGCCGCTGCCGTCCCAGGTGTCTGACGTGTGACCGGTGTCGGTCGCGGCTGAGCGGCGGCCGGCCGGCTGGCTGCGGTGCCCGCTGAGGGTGCCGTCTGCCCGCGGCCGTCTGCGCGCGTCCCGAAGACCCACCGCAGCGGAGCGGGGATCGGCCCGTCTGCCGCCCTCCAGGTCAGTGGCGGCGCCTCCGTCGGCTGTGCCATGCTCTATCCAGTGTCCCGCACCCGTGAGCTCGACTGAAACTTTTAATCGACTCTCAGCTACATTGCGGGGTATCGCCGGCATAATAAGAGGCGATGTCATAATATTTAATTGTTCACGATGAGCTGACGGGTTTGCCTTTTGCTTTCTTCATGACGTACGGACCAATCATTGTGAGCCAGTTCTGATCATTTGCAGCTAGCCTATCATGGCAGTAAAAGTTGGAAGGCAAAAGTTTACTTTTATATCCATGCACTCGATACTGCATTCAGTCTCTCAGCTAGCTATTTTGACAACTTAACTGGCGATATGCTGCGACACTTTGTCTTGAGTCGTTTTCATTGGGTTGTATATCTTTTCATCGGTCCGACAATTGTGTCGGATGCTTGTCATCAGCTCTGAACAGCCGGCTTTCACCTGCCCTCGGGCTGTGCTCTGGGTGGGCGTAAAGTTTAAACTAGCCACCTATCGCTCTGCTGATTGGTTCTTGATTATGATATTCACTCAGGATTAGCTGCCTTTAAAGTGTTTATTTTAAGCTCGGAGCTGAGACCTTTTCTTAGCAGTCTTTTAACTCTACATTTGTTGGCTGTGCAGCAATGTTGCCACTCACTCCGCAAGTTGAGATGTCAAACAGCTAATCTCGAATTTCGCACGTGCTCACTCTGTGCGTTGCGTTCGTCCTGAACAGCTTCATCGGGTTAAGCTGTTATGCCCAATGCGTTAACCGCTAATCGTAATTTAGATACACGGCGGTATGGTAACCAAGGACGTCGATTTCGGCAGCTTTACGAACTGTGTGGTTACGATGCAACCGTCGGGAGTGCACAGAGTGTTTCTGATCACGCTGAGTGCTTACTGCAGATGAGGACTACGGAACATTGGTATTAGTTTGGATGAATTGCTGGGAGTGAGCTTTGCACTTTCGAATGCAGCTTACGTTGCTCGCGCACCGTTTCGAATAGCTATTTATGGAAACTCATCCCTATGCCTTGCTGCAGTTTCTCGAGCATTTTTGAGCAAGGCATCATTGATCTGATTTGAAATGGCGCGCATACTGTCAGGAATATGCGATAGTTAGGACAGACGTTCTTACGATATCAGGGCCTTAGGCCAAAGATTGGACTTGGTAAATGTTCATCACTGGTGGATGGCATCTGGGCTATTTTTGTATTCACGAAGTGCCATGCTTTAGATCATGATTTCGCCTGTACATTTTCCCTCATATTTTGTGTCATCTTGCGAATAATATGAATACACAAGGTATTTTGTATGACTGGTTTCATTGCGTGGAAGAAATTAACTGTTCTGAAAGATGCATTCGGAAATCGGTATTATATTGCAACAAATGACTGACTGTAACATTGTCCTGTCGACAATTGAGTGACGGCCGTCTTCGGCGATATCACCACGTCCTACCATCGGAGGCAACGTGCCAGCATCGGGCCGCGGCCGGTCAGTCGGCGGCTTGGGTTCACAGTCCTCAGTCTCGGCCCCGCCTCTTTTAATCATTTACTCGCGCTCATCTTTGTCAGTCTTCGTCCCGCTGCTCACAAAGTGGCTGTTCGGGCCCGGATACAGCTCAACCGCTATCTCTGAATACGTTGGATCAAGTTACCATTCGCCTTACGTTCGGATTATTTCTCGTCGTTGGTTTAACGGATTTACCAGGTTCTTGGGCAGCATGATGCATACCCCATAGTCAACTCACAAGAAATATTTTCTTTTGATGACAAGTTTCCTCCTCTTTACTCTTTGTCTCCACTTTCAAAACACTGCAGAATAAGACAAATTTTGTTCCACTCACTGACTTGAACTGGCTGCGCTACTCCAACCCTACCTACCCTACCAACTGCGACCATTTTCGTTCCGAATCTCATATATACCGCTGGAGCGACTCGAGCCCCAACTCTTAACCGGCCAATCACATTAGTTTCCAAGTAAATGTATGCCTTTTCGCCTCAGCAAGCTGCGACCAACTAACACGAAAGTTGTCATTTTGTGCATGGAAACATGTCAGACAAAGCAAAATCATATGAACGAAATACGTGTATTCGAAAGCCACATGATATCGATGCTCCAAGTGAGTAAAAATGGACATAATGAACTGCGCTACGCTGTATCATATGGTGATTGGTGACGCCGGGTGCCAGTGACAGCGACACAGTCTATGTTATGGAGATACGTAGCTATTGGTATTTGCGGACTTATATTGGGCTCACACACGAGCAAAATGTAGTATGTCGTTCGCAATTAACTACAGTACACATAAATCGGTGATCCTCTGAGGTAAAAATAGCTATGATGTCTACGAGACATTACATCAAGGGTAACTATAAAAAGTTCATAGAAGATATCCGCTATTATGCCTGTTGGCTTGACCTACGTCGATTGATCAGTAACCACGCGTTTACATGGTCGTGCTATGCACCAAGTATTCATTTGAATATACGTCCGGTGCGGTTACATCGCCAGTTACCTACGCATTGTAAAATGGGACGGATGGTTCCATGGTACAGCTGAGATAGGTTTGGGTACGCCGAGGCCAGCCTTACTGACCATAGTGGCATACTTTCACTGCCGGCCGCCGCGCGTGTTGCGCCCCTGAATGTGGCAGGTGTTGTGGCCGCGGGACCCCTACGGGCCGATGCGCCGTCCGCCGCGCGCCGTGGCCTCCGGTCGGCAGACCGGTGACGCCGGAGACCGAGCGACACCGTTCACCGGTAGTAGACGTACATGCCGATGGCCACGACCATGGACACGATGGCCGACACGTTCACAATCCTGTGGAGCGGAGAGCGGCGTCATACAGGGCGGTCAGGGCTGGGAAAACGGGAGGGTTTCAGTCGTCCTCGGCACCGTCACTCGCTAAATATGTGCCAGTGTGGGCTGTGGAGGGGCGGCGAGTGTGGCACGTCTACCTGCGCTCTCCTACCGCCCGCGGTACTCACACTCTCTGCTTGGGGTCCTCGTAGAGCGAGGCGGCGTCCTCCTCTGCTCGCTGCTCCTCGGTCAGCCGGTCGCGCGGGTTGACGGCGGCCTCGCCGGTTCGCTCCTCCACGCCGCACAGCTGGTTAAAGAGGCGCCGCGCCCTGGACGGCGGCTCGGCATCGCCAGCGGCCGCCGGCTCTGTCGCAACAAAACAACGTGGTCGTAAATTCGATACACTCGATCGAATCATCGAAATCAGACGCAGCGTAAACTGGTGATTTTATCTTTGTAAATAAGTTAGTCTTCCTGATCTCGTAAATAATGAATATTTAGGAGACATCTTTGAACATCGCCATTTTCTTGGCATTGCAAAAATGGTACCAGGTACGACCTGCGCGGGTATTTAGCCTAATGCTGCCTAATATTTTACGGTGCAGTGTGCACTCAGATGACGTAAGAGAATCCCATTAAGGGAATGCAGGTACCTTCTCGGATGGGATTTTTCTCCATCTCCAGGAGTGTGGAGGGCAGCGGCTTCCTGGGCTCTGTGCTGTGGCGGCTCCAGAACGTCAGACGGTGCAGCTGAAACGGGGGACGACCACGGTCACAACCAGTTGCACCCAGCATAAGCCGTCTTTCCAGTCGACACTGCCCTGGACCAACTGGTTTTTATCAGCTCGATGTCCGTAATTGACTCTCGGCCATGGTTCAGTCAGGGTTGGGAATCGAAGGTTTCTATATTGTGACCTATCGTCCTGTTTGTGGTATGTTCTCGTCTTTTATGGCACTTGGGCGAGGGATGGCGAGTCATCAAAATCCTTTTGTCTGCGATCGGCGCACTTGTGCACTCCTCACACAGTTGGCTTTTTGGGAGACCTGAATGCCGTTCATTGTTTCTCCGTCAATTGTCTTTTTTTTTTTGCTCATTCGCCTGGTCCATTCGGTACCCATACTCACGCACTCCTCCGGGATGGGCTCGGTGAGCAGCGATATGACGATCACAGAGATCAGCACGATGAGGAAGAGGATGCAGCCGAAATGTAGGAAGTGCACGTCGAAGATGACCGCCTTGATCCAGTCCGGCCGCAGGTCCTCCTCATCTGTGTTGGCAGATATACGGTGTCAGTTGGAGATATACCTACTGGAGGGACCTAGAGGGGTCAACTTTGGGGTCAACTGGCCCTTACGTATTCTTTTACAAATGCTGGCATTGCTGGCCTTGGAAAGAAGTCCAGCACCGCAAGTCCAGCACTTGGGAAGAAGTGTCAAGTTTTGAGTCTAAGGTCTAAGGCTACACGTGCTTACGATTAACTTGATCTGTTACACCCCTGCACATCTCCCATATATCCGCTACAAAGCTCATTATACGCCCACTACGCACCCGCTACCCTCGCCCACATCCAGTCCGCTTCATGCCTTCGGCACACCCACTGTCCAGTGTCCACTCTACGCATTAGTTACCTGAGCCGCAGGGCGGTACTGTGTAGGAGAACTCGACGCAGAATCGAATCATGCCCACCACCAATCCGATCATGATGCCCCAGAAGGCGCCCTGTTCGAAACACACAGACAGACCACATTGTAACGGGCTAGGTGAACGTTTCTCGCATGATGCCCCAGAAGGCGCCCTGTTCGAAACACACAGACAGATCACATTGTAACGGGTTAGGTGAACGTTTCTCGCATGATGCCCGAGAAGGCGCCCTGTTCGAAACACACAGACAGACCACATTGTAACGGGCTAGGTGAACGTTTCTCGTATGATGCCCCAGAAGGCGCCCTGTTCGAAACACACAGACAGACCACATTGTAACGGGTTAGGTGAACGTTTCTCGCATGATGCCCGAGAAGGCGCCCTGTTCGAAACACACAGACAGACCACATTGTACCTAACGGGCAAGGTGAACGTTTCTCGCAGGTACGCTGGTCGTTCAGCTCATGAAAAACATTCAGCATTGTTGGAATGCACGATAGGACCGCGGCCGGAATTAGCGCGACATTGGTGGATTTGGCGACCTTTCCCAAATTGAGTTAAACTGTGTCACGTAGTTCAGAAATGTCCATGGACCACGAATCTGCAAATATTTTTCGTCCATAGTGTACAGCGTCCGCGCCACATCAGCCCAAACACAAAGTTTTGTGCCAAGCATCGTAGACCCGTTTTCGTACGGAGAAAAATAGCAGCTAATGTAGGTAAAAAATATATCTATTAGACGGCTTTATCAATATTTTCGACGTCTAACCTGATAGTTTAGACCATGGGCTACACGATGGAAGAAAAAAACTCATAGCGGAATATATAAATACGCTTCAAATGTTAAGTTTTTTTGGTCCTTTAAAAATTGTGAGTTAATTTTACTGTTATAGATATTCTGGAATGCCGATATAAAAAGTCCCGCTAGGTCCCGCTGTTCTTTTATCAATATGGTGTTTACCAATCAATTGCCTTTCAGAAAATGTATAATTTAGCTGCGTCAGCCTGCGGCAGCGAAAATGAGGGGCATTTTTTTACTCCAGGTCGCCGCGGCCGGGAGCCGCGAGTAACAGAACCTCAGGAATCGAACAAGGTTGCCAAGTACCAACTATATTAAAGTTTTGTCCGGACATATCCGTACCTTCTATCGGAGTTTCTGATACACTTTTCTGACCCGTAATAAATTTGTTATATAGTCATGTAGGCCATCAGATTCCCATCTTCACGGTTTTGGTGGCTACATTATTTGCTTATCGGAATTTCCGGTGCCGTCATGACCTGGCCTGACAGGTGCCGCCGTCTTATCACGTGACCGAGCGGAGTCGAGGTCAGGGCAGGTCAACCGATTAATTAATCAATTAATTAATGAATTAATTAATGATTAATTAATTATATTAATCAGAAATTGCTTAGAAAGTACACCGATTACCATTTTTAAGATTCTACCATCCTTTTCATGTGAAAAGCGGGCACGAAATACGAAAAAGTACCGATGTCGCGCTAATTTTCGCTCCGGTCCCATTGTGGAATGGAAGGAACAAATATGTCTACATGTTTGAGGTTTGTGAAGGTGGTGGACTCAAAAGAGGTTCATCGGGGACTTAAATGCAAAAATCATCGGCATTTTTGCATGCATACTGCCGTAGGCATTCCGTGTTATCATGCATAAAATGAAGGGTCTTCAGGAGGAAGGGCTTTTGCTCAGTTTCCGTCCCTCTTCCCCGGTGTTGTGCGAGTGTCTGAGACTGGCACGGCTGCCCGGTGCCCCTCACCTGTTCGTTGGTTCTCGGCCAGAAGACGGCCAGCAGGTAGATGGCACAGATGGGCGGCGCCAGGTACGAGGTGATGCTCTGGATGTAGACGAACAGCTGGCTGGACGACGACGAGTTGATGATGGGGATCCAGACGATCGACACGGCCACCATGAACACTACAAACACCCTGCGACATGGATTACGCCCGGTCAGTGGTCATCGAATACACTGTGACTCGGAACACCAAGCACACGCACCGGTCACCGCTCGGTTAAACGGTACGTATCCACTATGTACATACGAGTGAACTTCTCTGCTGAACGTATGTACCACTCGTACATACGTTCTGGTTATCAGTGAACTTCTCTGCTGTCCATTCTGTTCTGTGCAGCCGCTGCACCACGTTCTTCCCGAAGTTTACCCGGCGTGTCCAGTCTCCTGGACTGGACCGGCGAGCGGCAGTGGGGGACCGGGCCGGACCTGAACCCACCTGCCAGCGATGACCTGCTCCATCTCCGAGGCGTTGCGCCTCACTCGCGTGTAGATGTCGATGGTGAACAGGGTGGAGGCCGAGTTGAAGATGGACGTCAGCGAGGACATCAGCGCCGCCAGCATCACGGCCAGCATCAGACCGGCCACACCTGACGACGACGCACAAATAAACGACCTTACAATTATCGGTGACTAACAAACACATGTCCCAATGCGCCTTGAGGGCAATCACCATAAGGATGCATAGTGCATACTGCATACTGAAACGTGTCACCTAATAAAAAAACACGATTGATTTTATCCAAACAACTACAGACATATCTGCCCCGGCGTGCAGAGGCTAATGTTGACATTTCTCTTTATGATTCGTAGGTACTTCATTTTTATGGCCTGGAAAATGTTCTTATGCTTTTAATCTTTCGTTATTTATTTTTATGACATTAAGAATGCATTTTTTCGCAGCTTACGAGTACGAATGGCGATTCGAAAGCCGCCGAAACAGCGTTAAACTTCGGGTGAGCACAGTACCTACTGTTTGCAAACATGAAAACCATTGTAATTTGCACAACTGCGAAACACGCCATGCCAACACGTGTCACGGTTCCGGTCCTGGCATCACCGGACAGCCTGGTCAGTACGTGCGGGGCGGGCTATTACACTGCAGTTGTGTGGTGCGACGCGTTGAGAGCTGTTGGTGGACGTGCATTGTACTGCACGTTTGTTTGTTTTTTAAGTAAATTTTGATGGCGCAGCTACTTTTAAGGTTAAAGGTGGCTTTTTTCTCCCTCGTTATTTAGAAGGCAAAATATGGCTTTTTGTGCCAATACGATGGAGCAGCGGCAGCCATTACTTATTTCACGTCTTTTAGACGGCACCTATAGTTTTACCGTAGCATCATACCTACAAGTAAAAAAGTAAGACAGAGATAGACGTGCAGTGTGCACCGCACACACGTTTCGATGACGCAAAAGGTGTCGCCCCGAGGTATAAGCCCCGGTGTGGGCCCCCACCTTTGGGCAGGAGGTTGAGCACGAGCTCGATGTAGGCCAGGTTGCTGCAGCCGGACTCGGAGTTGCAGAACCGCTTGCAGGCGGCCGGGTCGGAGCAGGCCACCGTGTCTGTGTACAGCACGCGCGCCGCCATGCCCGGGAAGATGAGCAGGAACAGCGGCAGGAACTTGAGGGCGGCCGCCAGCACCACGCCGCCCTTGGCGTGCACCATGTTCTTGGAGGCGAGCGTGCGCTGCACGATCACCTGGGCGCCGGGCACATGGTCAGACCAGGGCACTAAAGAGTCGGTCAGACGAGGCAGGCGGTCACAGGAGGAGTGACGTGCCGAATTTGCGGCGAACTCTGTTTGCAAACCAAGTGTGGCTCTCACACCGCTGTCACGGCCGGCCGGCCGACTCACCTGGTCGGAGCACCAGTACCAGATGGCCGAGATGGTCAGGCCGAACGTCATGCCCGTCCAGGGCAGGTCCGACTTGCCGGCCTCGGCCGCCCTGAGGGCACACAACACACGTCAGCGCGCGCCGGAGGGGCCAGTGGGCGGCCGCACGGTGGCTCAGGTATAACTCCATGCTGGCCCAGGTGACCCTCTCGGCTATCAAGTCACCTGAACAGCATCACTACTATGAACGTCAAACCCCTTGAGACCCCACTTTTTTTGCGATAATTTTTAAATGCGTCAACTTTCGCTGACAATATTCTGGCAATGTACGTTTCAGAACCTGCCGAAACTTTTATTACTAAGGTATTTTGACGCCAAACGATTATGGAAGGTACTTCTCATTCACCAGCGCCCGCTACCGCTACCAACTACCGCCCACCATCAAGCCTGAATGGAGCGAGAGACGCGAGTAACCGGTCGTCGGGCAAGGAGCGCCGGAGGGGTAGGGCGGAGCTTAGCGCTGACGTCATTACGTGGCTCCGCCCCATGAGCGCGTAGCCTCTACCCAAACAGCAGATTTGTTCCGTGAAATTTAACATTGCGAGTGAATGAGAAGTACCTTTCATAATCGTTTGGCGTCAAAATACCTTAGTAATAAAAGTTTCGGCAGGTTCTGAAACACACATTGCCAGAATATTGTCAACGAGAGTTGACGCATTAAAAAATTATCGCAAAAAAGTGGGGTCTCAAGGGGTTTGACGTCCATTAGTAGGTATTTATGGCTTCACAGTAGGTATTTTCCTCCAGCGTGTCATTCAACAGGAAATTGGAACGATCCCATTATTCACAGCTCGGAATGCGACTCCATCTAATTGCGGTCTGATTCTGCGCTTCCGAGTAACCTTGCAGGCCGAGCGGCTCACCGAAACATATGCATGGCGTCGGCGCGCGGCGCGCTGCACGATTGGTTGGCGCTGTCGTAGGCGGTGACGTTCGGACTGGGCATCTTCTCAAAGTACTGCGTGATCAGCTCGTCGTAGCCGCCAACCGCGATGAATGCTGACGAGTGACGGGAACCACGGGGAAGTTAACAAAATGCTGAGAGCCATTGATATTATGAGATCAACGCCATGGTTAGAAATGTTGGTGGAAATAGTATACTCTGGGGTCTGTTATACCGGTCTAAAACCTATTCTTTTTGGAACGGAAAGGTCAGAAGTTCAAGCTAAAGCCTCGCTGAACGTAGCGGTTCAGTTCCATGAACGTAACGGTCCGGGCTATTGTTCACCCTATGCAAGCACTTATACCGACATGCATTTACAGAAATATTCGCTGATTACCCAGTAACCTAAACGGAAAATGCCAGTTCAAACTCGGACAATCCATCCAGATATGTCTACCCAACTATAGAAATTAGCAGCACAGGCTGACGAATAGTTTACATCATATACCCGGTACCTGTATGTTTAATAAGCGACAAGTGCCCGAGTAGCTTACACATGATGCAGAGGACCAGGGAGCCGGCGATCATGAGCACGGTCTGCACGGCGTCCGTCCAGATGACGGCCGTCAGTCCGCCGAAGATGGTGAACACGGCAGCGATCAGCAGGAGGACGATGATGGCCAGGTAGAGGCCCAGCTCGCCCTCCCACTGCATGGCGCGCGTCAGGAACAGCGCGCCCGCGTACAGGTCCGCCTGCACCGGAACACAGTTGAATGCCAATGGTGTCGGGTGCGGTAGGTATTTATATCGTACAGCCATTCAACGAGAGCATTTTATTCCAAGTCGGTCAGGTGAGTCCAGTTATAGGCTTCTGCGATAATTAATGGTTTTGTTCAACATTTTCCTCCAACTAGGCCCAAAAGCTACAGAAGGGAAAATCAATATGGGTATACCTATATAACTAGGTGTCCTTGTTTTTTAATGATTCTGTGGGATGGAGAGGGCTGGCACGGCATCCTTACCGAGACCTTGGTGAAGATGTAGAGTAGGATGGCGAGCACAGAGAGGTAGACTCTGATGCGTTGGCCGCCGAATCGCAGTCGGAGGTACTCGGGCATTGTGTACACGCCGGCCGCCGTGTACACGGGCACAAACACCCAGCCCAGGATCATCAGAACGAACACGGCCTGCGCACAGCGGTCAGGTCAGGTCACGTCAGACTGCAGTCACTGCACAGTGGTGCAGCAGTGCGTTGGACCCGTATGGTGCGCTCGAGCAAGTCTTCAGAATTACAGCATCATTATTGCTAAACGTTATTCAGGACTGAACGTCTTAGAACCTCAAAGCCCCGGAGGCTCCGAAAGGGAATGTCATTTGTTTACATTACAGACATTTGAAGCTGCTTTCCAAGCATTATATAAGTATGTCGATGAGAAAACCAACTGCATGTAGGTACTTCTCGTTTCAATGCTTTCAATACAAAATGCTAAATCAGCACGGATGACCACAGGCGCCATTTAACACGGTGCCGTTCCGTGCTGGGCTGGCCCTCGGCAACTTTCCCCCAGTTGTCCAGTCGGCTCCGATTTGGCTACGACAGTCCCAGACTCTCCCTCGAGTTTCACCAAGCCTTTCGGGCCGTCTGCAGTGGCTGCAGCTGGCTGTGTTTGTTAGGGTGAGTGGCTGGGAGTGTGTCACTCACATTGAGCTCGAAGCCGGCCACGGCGATGCCGGAGGCCGCTCCGGTGCCGGCCAGTCCGATAAAGTGGCCGCTGCCGATATTGCTGGCGAACAGTGACGCCCCCACCTGCGACAGTCGGGCGGGGGTAGAGGGTGAGTGGAAGAGACAGAGAGACACAGACACACAGACACACAGACAGACAAAAACACGTGGAAGCGGTGCCTCGAATAGCTGGGCCTCAGGCTGACCGGGCTTTCCGAGGAGATGCGCAGCTGTAAAAATGGACGGTTTCGGCTCCGGCGTCCGTTGAATGTTCTGGCTCCAGTTCCGAAAAGGTTGCAGCGCCCGCGGCTCCCGTGAGCTGGCATCGGTGCTAATGACTCCGGTTCAGTCACCTTCAATCAATGTGGTCCTAAACCACATTTGAAGAACGGTTAGTAAATCCGGGCTAAGTCTACCTCTGGGCTGAACATGGGTTGTTTTTACGGACATATTTAACACACCTATATAAAGTAGGTACAAGTGTTTCTTTCTCACAGCTGTCGTGAGTTTGCGCCTGGCGCCTGCTGGTATAATCGCTTTTAACGCACCACATACGCAGCTGTTCACGGACGACTGCTGACGAAACTACACACACAACTGGATATATATATATATATATATATATATATATATATATATATATATATATATATATATATATATATATATATATATATATATATATATATATATATATATATATATATATATATATATATATATATATATATTATCGGAATTGTGTATACTTGGGAAGCAGGTTCTCTGTAATGCATTTGAGATTAAAATTAACAGCAGTTTGAGCGTTGTTGACTTTCTTATGAAGGTTCTCGATTCGTCGGATTAGCTGTCTTGTTTCACTATTATGTTCAAAAAGGATGTTGGAGAATGATTCTCTATTATATACGACGTTTCGTTCGGACATCGAACATCATCAGGTGATAAATTCAGGCGAACATATACACAGGAATGGGATAAATAATGCTATAAATGATTCGCATAATCGTAAATGATGCACATTAGTCGCTATCGGCACGGTGAAATCTTGGGTGAAATCATCTTACACTCCACTAGTTAAATGCAATGTTGCACGCTGCGTTCAACAGGAGCACTTCTACTGTCGGATACATACATGGGGTCCTAACTCTTAGCTACTACAGACCTACGTGGCTAGAGTCTAAGGAATCTAGATCCGGGCTCTGAGAGGCGCCGAATCAAACACCATCAGCGAACCACGCAAGTTCATTTGCCTGTTGATCCAGGGATCACTGTCACGAATATACACGGCCTCCAGAGCCTGCAGCTTCTTCCTGTTCGAGCATCGTGCTAAGACAGATGTGTTTTGCACCATCATATCTCGCGCGAGCTCCAGGCTGTGCTCCTGCTGCATGTGTCGCAAAGGTGCACCGTCCTGGAGATGCATTGTGATCCTACGGCTCATCGTTGTTACGGTGTGTCCAATGTAGGCACGATTGGAATAGTGTACACAGTCACCAACAGGGCATTTAAACTTGTACACTACATTGGTCGACCGTAACAACGATGAAACGTGACTCAAGTTGTTTTTCATGACAAGGCTAGATACAGTGGGGCTCTTATAGTAAATGATCATTTTCAGGTTATCATTCGGGTTGATGGGGACACAGTTATTCATCACAATGCTACGAATTGCTTTTTCATCTTTCTTATACGCAGACGACATAATCGACTGGTAAAATACTTTCAGCTCACCCCTGCTCTGTGGGTCACCTGGCGCAATATCATTCGACGGCTGAGGCCCTTCTGTTTCAGTTGAGCTCGCGGTGATCTCCGAGCCACCCAGAAGGGCCTCAGCCGTCGAATGATATTGCGCCAGGTGACCCACAGAGCAGGGGTGAGCTGAAAGTATTTTACCAGTCGATTATGTCGTCTGCGTATAAGAAAGATGAAAAAGCAATTCGTAGCATTGTGATGAATAACTGTGTCCCCATCAACCCGAATGATAACCTGAAAATGATCATTTACTATAAGAGCCCCACTGTATCTAGCCTTGTCATGAAAAACAACTTGAGTCACGTTTCATCGTTGTTACGGTCGACCAATGTAGTGTACAAGTTTAAATGCCCTGTTGGTGACTGTGTACACTATTCCAATCGTGCCTACATTGGACACACCGTAACAACGATGAGCCGTAGGATCACAATGCATCTCCAGGACGGTGCACCTTTGCGACACATGCAGCAGGAGCACAGCCTGGAGCTCGCGCGAGATATGATGGTGCAAAACACATCTGTCTTAGCACGATGCTCGAACAGGAAGAAGCTGCAGGCTCTGGAGGCCGTGTATATTCGTGACAGTGATCCCTGGATCAACAGGCAAATGAACTTGCGTGGTTCGCTGATGGTGTTTGATTCGGCGCCTCTCAGAGCCCGGATCTAGATTCCTTAGACTCTAGCCACGTAGGTCTGTAGTAGCTAAGAGTTAGGACCCCATGTATGTATCCGACAGTAGAAGTGCTCCTGTTGAACGCAGCGTGCAACATTGCATTTAACTAGTGGAGTGTAAGATGATTTCACCCAAGATTTCACCGTGCCGATAGCGACTAATGTGCATCATTTACGATTATGCGAATCATTTATAGCATTATTTATCCCATTCCTGTGTATATGTTCGCCTGAATTTATCACCTGATGATGTTCGATGTCCGAACGAAACGTCGTATATAATAGAGAATCATTCTCCAACATCCTTTTTGAACATAATAGTGAAACAAGACAGCTAATCCGACGAATCGAGAACCTTCATAAGAAAGTCAACAACGCTCAAACTGCTGTTAATTTTAATCTCAAATGCATATATATATATATATATATATATATATATATATATATATATATATATATATATATATATATATATATATATATATATATATATATATATATATATATTAGCCTGTCCCACTCTAATATAGGGAAATCCAAAAAGTGTAGCACATATTCAAACACACTTTGCTTTTCATCCCATTGCTAAAAGGAAGCTTCCTACAAATTTTTGGGTCAATCGGTCAATGTTTAGGGGTCGCGCCAAAATGTAATTTTATGTTTATTGTTTATTTACCACATAACACCCACAGGCAAATCGGTCCAGTTCAGCGTGAAGTCATGTGATAAAATTACATAGGTAGGTACATACATGGAAAACAGTAAGTAAAATCAGTCGATATAGCTGCCCAGTGTTCGAGCGTACTGGAAAGCCTCGCGCCGGAAGGACGTGGAAGGATGGTAAAAGTCCACCGATGGGCTATGTGCCAAAAATTGATTGCACAATCGAGGGATACGCACAGAAAGACAGTTCTTTACGGTGTTCACTCTCCCGAAGGACACATGAAGCAAGTCTGTGCGACGGTTACGCCTCCCAGGCACATTCAGACCAAACATCGATACCAGGTAAGCGCAGTCCAGGTAAGGTGGTGCCGGAGTTGTACAAGAACATGATATCGGTGTGAATGAGGCGGGCTTTGATGGACTCAATTTTAAAGGTTCGCAGTAGACTACTATAGTCCATAGGACAGCTCCTCTGCGTTTTAGCACCAAGCCACATGAGACAGCGGTGCTGTAGCCGCTCCAGCCGTACCTACCAGGTGGGACTGGGCTGCACCGCTCCAAATGACATTTCCGTATTGGAGGACGGACCTAACATGACCATTGATCAGATCTGAAGAACAGATCAGATTTCTTCGACTCACGTTCCCGACGAAGAGCGTCGACAAATGGCTGCAGCCCTCTCTCATCTGCTCGGAAGGGCACGAAGAAGCTGGAAGGTAAAGGTCTCAAACTGGACGGGACTCTCCACGGACGCGTCACCTCGAAAACGAAGTCCCTCTTCGACCCCCTCGGTGCATCTCCTGACCTTACCAGGTCCGTTCGTGAGTGGGACATCGATCCAGCCTACAGGCATGCCAGGGAGAGAACAGCTGCACTGTCAGCTGTGAATGATGCAGCTGAACGAGGAATCGCCCTCATCGAGAAGTTAAACAACTCCATCACACGAGATGGACAGCAGAAGCAGCACCCATGCTCAAACTAGTCCACCGCCATCGTCAGTTGGTGGGCGACGAGAAGAAGGCTGACCTTGCCAAGAAGGTGTTCTGAGTTTCTGTTAGGCCTAGGCAAGTAATTGGTGGCAGAGATGTGACTCACTTTGCATTCAGTTGTGTTCCAGTTCATTAATTCACAGTATACAGTAGATAATTCGCAACAACCCAGAACAACATGAAGCGTTATGGCGCGACCCCTAAACCTGACTCAATCGTTCTCATTTTTTCAGGGTTTCATCTTCTGTTGTTAGGGGCTCAAGGGAACATGTGTCTCTACGGTTTCAATGGCGTTGGTACTTTTGGGACAGGCTAATATATATATATATATATATATATATATATATATATATATATATATATATATATATATATATATATATGGAAGCGGCATTCTGCACGTGCGCACGTGCAAACGGGTCCAAAATGACTTTTGCACGTCACCCTACTAACTGGTCCACAACCGTGTACCAAATTTGAGCGCAATCGGCCCAGCCGTTCTCGAGATCTGGAAACGCCCCCTGCACGTGCGCACGTGCAGTAGCACCCTAACCGCAACACATGGGAATGCATTGCCTGGTGGGTGCCTACCTGTATGCCAAGTTTCAGAGAAATCGCCCCAGTAATTACCGAGTTACTGAAATGGGAACAAATTTGGCACCTCTTATTGTTGTATTTTGCACGTGCACTGGGGGTGACCCACATGCATCGAGAGTATCCTATTTTGGGTAGAAGGGATGCTGCTACCCTACAAAAATTACTGCAAGTCAATCGCCCAAGCGGCTGCTGAGATATGAGCATCTCAAAATCACTACTTTTGCAAAACAGCTTGAACACCCTTGACTTTTCACGTGGCACGTGCCACGACCGTCTCTGAGATGTATCAAAAGTAGTCAATTACGGGGTAGAAGGGATGGGGCTACCCAACAAAAAAGACCGCAGGCCAATCGGTCCAGCGGTTGCTGAGATATAAGCCTCTCAAAAGCGTTACAGGCCGGGCCGGGCCGGGCCGCTCATACTGAGATTTTTCCGTTATATTGAAAAGACTCACTTCGCTCGCTGCGCTCGCTCGCTCGTAACCAGTAAAACGCCTTTTGGGCGAAGAACGAGCGAGCGAGATAGTGAGCCCTGCACGTGCGGAAGGGCGAGAGGGTACTTCCAACGGGCTTGTGCAAAGCACCCTTCTAACCGGTCGCTAGCGGTGTGCCAAATTTGAACGCAATCGGCCCAGCCGTTCCTGAGATCTGGAAGCGGCATTCTGCACGTGCGCACGTGCAAACGGGGTCCAAACTGACTTCTGCACGGCACCCTACTAACTGGTCCTCAACCGTGTACCAAATTTGAGCGCAATCGGCCCAGCCGTTCTCGAGATCTGGAAGCGCCCCCTGCACGTGCGCACGTGCAGTAGCACCTTAACCGCAACGCATGGGAATGCATTGCCTGGTGGGTGCCTACCTGTATGCCAAGTTTCAGCAAAATCGCCCCAGCAATTACCGAGTTATTAAAATGGGAACAAATTTGACACCTCTTATTGTTGTATTTTGCACGTGCATTTGGGGTGACCCACATGCATCGCGAGTATCCTATCTTTGGTAGAAGGGATGCAGCTACCCTACACAAATTACCGCAAGACAATCACCCAAGCGGCTACTGAGATATGGGCCTCTCAAAATCACTACTTTTGCAAAACAGCTTGAACACCCTTGACTTTTCACGTGGCACGTGCCACGACGGTCACTGAGATGTATCAAAAGTAGTCAATTACGGGGTAGAAGGAATGGGGCTACCCAGCAAAAAAGACCGCAGGCCAATCGGTCCAGCGGTTGCTGAGATATAAGCCTATCAAAAGCGTTACAGGCCGGGCCGGGCCGGGCCGGGCCGGGCCGGGCCGGGCCGGGCCGGGCTGGGCCGGGCCGGGCCGGGCCGCTCATACTGAGATTTTTCCGTTATATGGAAAAGACTCACTTCGCTCGCTGCGCTCGCTCGCTCGTAATAAGCCTTGGAGTATAAACCGAGAAAATCAGAAATCACAAATGCCTATGATTTAACACTGTCGTTTGATTGTTGGTATGAATGTATTATTTACTAATTACCAACAAGTAAAACCCAATTTCAGGTAGCCAATACCTAAATAAAAATACAATAAATAAATACACGTTTCTAGGTCTTGAACGTTTATGTTGATGTTCAACTCAAATTAACAGTAGGTATTTGGCAAACTTACCGGAATCCAGTGCATGCTTCGAGAAGCCAGGAAGTAGCCGCTCAGATTATCCTTCTTCGAAAAACGCGAACTCTGCAATAAATGAAAATGTGATTAGTTACACAAGGATGTAGAACCCAACGCATAGATATATGGACCTACGTCCTATATACCTACTATTAAATATACAAGAAGATAACATAACGCAAATATCAAATATGCCTTGGTTATTAAAGAGAATTATTTGCCAAAATATAGTATACCTATAGGTATATAATGAATATCTGTATATGTAATTACATATAGTATATAAATATATATATATATATATATATATATATATATATATATATATATATATATATATATATATATATATATATATATATATATTTAATACCTATATGTCTCTTTGTTATTCCTTTATCTATATAGGTAGGTACAGCCCTCTGCAAACTGCGTGGTAGGTAGTAGGTACTCTTGTTTCGACAAAACCGAGAATAACGCGAATACTATGCCATCGGTTACTCGGAAATCATAACAGCAAGACGCGCGAGACTCCGCACAGTAGATTGGCATTATCATCGTATTCATTTTCCATCCAGTTTGGCAACGAAACCCAAAAGTATATATGTATTCGCCCCCAAAACAAACTTTTGCATTTTGTTGCCACACAAGGCGTATGTTTAGGTTTATTGTTAGACCCAATCGAAGGAGTGGAGGGTGGTGCATCAGGCATCTATTTGCAGTTAGTTCCGAGTGACTGGTAACATCGCCATTGAGTTATTATCGGTTTTGACGAAAAAAAGAATGCCTACCACCCAGTTTTCTGAGGGCTGTATACCTACTCTATGCATTACACATTAATTCTATTATAGGGGTACCTATACTTTAATAATATATACCTAGTAGGTACCTATATATGCAAAAATAAAAGTTCCGATTGCCCCTGGCCCTGACCGTTTGGCTGTCATGTGGTGGGCCGCTGGGCAGTGAGCACTCATGCCTATGGTTGGATTTAAATTGTGTTAGGCATTAAATTATGCCATTTCCACTGCTTACTGTTTACACAGGAAACGTAAACAATGTGCACTCCTCTTCAACAGCATTGTAACTACTTCCCGGAAATATATTTAAATGACCTTCCTAAGAAGTTATTTAAAGTTGTCACGGTTCAGGATTTAGAAGAAAATAGTGAAAAGCTGCTTTTCAGTCAACATTATTATAGGGCTTCATATTGCTTTAACTATGCCATTACCTATTGTCTTTCTATTCCGTCATTTTGTTCACACTCCTAACGTTCAGGGACGAGTGAAAATATGACAGGGTGCCTGTTTTGTTTTAGTCACCCGCTTTAGTGAGGTGGGTGGATATTTGCAATCATGTCACGTGTCTCTGGGAATGACTGGCTGCCATCCGCAGCGCCCATTCACCCATTCGACAGACGGAGCGGCGATGGCCTGTATAGGCCGCCGCGGGCGGCTGGGATTCCCGCGCCGCGCACCAGAGGACGGCCGCGTCATCCACTCGGCGCCCGTCCCCGCTCCGCGGCCACTCCTCAGCTGGAGTCACCTCAGAGGCGTGCATTGGGCTGGCGGTGTGTCACATAGCGGCCACAGGGTATTTTTCCAGTATAACTCATAAAAGATGTCAGGCATATGTCAGGCCACGTCAGTTGTAACTACTCAGTCCTGTATGCAAAAGAAAACAGCAATGGTATAACTGTTACCCTCTCGAATGTGCCGGTATACTCTGTACCTACTTATTGGGTGAAGTAAGCAATGAGCATAGGTCATAGTGTTCAACCTCGGCATTTCGTATGCTTTCACTGCTATTGCAGACGCAGCACGACCAGTTATTTCTCGCTGGTCAGTCGGGTTCTATGGGTGACGCTCAGCTGCCTACGTTGACCGGTCGGCAGCTATGGACAGCGGTCGGTGGCCGCACGTGGGGAGCGCGTGCTTGGCCGCAGTGCACTGCCTCCGGGCCCGTACGCGTCAGCACTCAATAGTCAATACCCATGTATTACCTGTTCCACGGCGCTCGCTCGGGCAGAATTATCTAGCCGACAATCGTACACCGTGCAGCCCCTCTGTGAAGTTCCTTTGCAAAATAAAACGTTTCTTGTCATGGCATAGCCAATCATTTCATAACTTGCACATGAGCTTTGAGAGGCAAGGGGAGGTGGCGGATTACTGTTGAACAACTGTCGCTGAGCAGTGGTGGAGGAATCCGACCAGAAGGCATGTCTGAAGTGAAGTGACCTGATTCCGTCGTTCGCAGTGTTCCGAGATTTGAGATGAACCGTTCAAATCGTTGCGTTTTCCCTACATTTGATTAAGATTGACGCGAAGTTGGAAATTGTCTCTTTACCATTATGGACGTTGCGCCGTTAAGGCAATAATGGCACCGTATGTATTCGGTATACGATTATGCATTTAACTTGTGAAGCTGTATGTACAGCCCACAGCAGAAGTAATGTGTGGTTTCAGTCATGGGTATGTTCTGCTTCTGAAGCCTAGGAACGATCAGCCAGACCGCAACGAGACTTTAACCCTCGCCCGCACATGCCATTTTCCCATCCTAGAACGCACATGGGGGGGGGGTGGTTGCCACCCCCCCCCCCGCGCCATTTCGCTCCTGTTGGTGATAGAGCTTAGCAGTAAAGACCAAAAAGATTCTTTGGGAAGAGACAAATCCAATGATACCCAGTTTTACCTTCTCAGGTCAGTCATTGACCTTCCAGGTCAGGTCAAACTAAAAAATGTTGCTGTTTTGGGTCACCGTTGGATATCATGTGTGATGTGCGCTGCTTATCAAATACCGATGACGATGCTGTTTTCTGGTGCCAAGCCAGCTAGAACCTCTTTGTCACACTATCCGACCAGAATTTTGCTGCTGAGGTCATTTCAGGTCAAGTTAGGTCAAGGTCAATTATATGTGTTTGTATGTCTGTGTGTGTCTGTGTGTATACTGATGTTTGCACCGATTGTTTTTGGGTCCATATCACATGAAATCATGATCTGAGAAGCTTTTACCAAAAATGCAGTCAAAAAACTTCACAAAAAGTAAATTCAGCTTGCCTAAAACGCAATTATCTTAGATGACCTAGGTTGACCTTGACCCTGACCTTGACCCTTGTACATCGTCGAACAACATGTTACATGATAGGTGGGAGGTAAGACTGGCAAAAAAGGCCGAAATCAGGGTGTCAAAAGCTCACAAGGCCCATGGCAAACGCAAGATGTTGAGAATTGGCCATTTGGGTCATGACATGACCTGAAAGACAAGGTCATATCTCCGAAACCAAAAATCACAGAAACTTGAAGTTTTCAGTGGACATCAAGAAAGGATAGACGAGCAGCTATACGAAAAATCAGCCTTCTAGCTCTAAAAATGTTGAAAGCAGAGCACAAAGACTGCCTGGGGGGGGGGGGGTGGCAACCACCCCCCTATGTGCGGGCGAGGGTTAAATGTAGCTTACATGTATCTTCACCCTTGCAGCTACAACTTTATCTATTGACGTCTTCTTTTCAATCAGTCTGCATTTAAAAATCGTCGGTCAAAGCCATCCGTTGAGATTGGTAAAACCACACATTACTTTATCGGTGGGCTGTACCTACCAATTGGAAAGCCGTGTAGGTAGCAGATTAAGTATATGTAAATGTTCCCGCATTGGCACATTGTTTTTATCTTTTGCGCAACATTTTCAGCTGTACCTATCATTAGCGTCGCCACGGGGGGGCAAGCGGGGCAGCTTGCCCCCCCAACCTCGGATCGGGCACCCCCTGAGATCGATACAGATCCGATGAGATTTTGGAGTCGGGAAAAAATGGGGGTACCTTTCTGAGAATGCCTGTGAGGTCAGACTCGTTCAAGCCAGAGGGGCATTCCACGTCAAATCAAACACCGAAATCCGTCATCCCCTTCGATTTTTCTGAAAATTTGTAGGCAGACTGGGCATGGTTCAAAACTGAGTTACGTATAATATTTTCGAAATTTGATAAAGTATCGCTGAGATATAGGTCATCGAATATAGCCAAAAATACCACACATCAATTTTTTAAATGTATTTAACTCTGGTTCCTTTTCTGGTATCAAAATGATATTAACAGGGTCTTGTAGGCAATTGATAAGGCTTTGATTTTTATTTATAAAATTAAATTGAAATGACCTTGAAATGCATTTGACCTTGAATTAAAACAGAAAAATTTAAATAGCAAAAAACACGTCACCTTCGATTCGGGTAATTTTTACATATTATGTCCGTCACAATGTTCCTAAACATCTGTGAAAAAATTGGAGTGGGCCATTCATAACTCTCGCGGCAAACGCCGTTTTCATGCATCAACATCACGCAACCGCGCGTGACCTTGAAAGACTGAGTCAAGACATGCTTGCTTGTGTACACTTTCTGAAATGAATGATTGCTGATTAGTGATATCCCAAACTCGGCGAGAATGGAAATACATAGTCATCGTAGTCAAGCATTCAAGTTCCATAGTAAAAGTGTCTCAGGCAAACGGTATTTTGCGGTGAATTTTTAGCCGTGTGGAAATGCATCATGAAGCCAAAAATTCAACGAAAACATTATCACGCAACGATATCTTCACGTCTTTTTATCTTCACTATACGAAAGAATATACATTTTTGAGCATGTATGGGGAATTTCTAGTTAATCCAATAATAAATATGGCAGTTAGAGACCTGCTAAGAGTAACATGTCGCCGGCTGAGGCGGGATCGGCCGACGCGGGAAACGCAGCAATCACAATTTTGTGTTTACACGTTCATATTTCAATTGTTTACCAACCGATTTTCAAAATTCTTACACCATAAGATTGTCTGTACATTTCTTAGTCTTCTCACAAAATTTGACGCGAATCGAACGTAATCAGCGGTAAGGAGCGCGATGTAAAGACGGAACCGTTCCGTTCCGTCCCGGCACAGTCTACAATTCAGGCGGCGGCTAGCGGTCGGCGCCGGCTGCCGAGTCGCCGCGTCGCCGCGGCGACAGGATGTTCACTTTACACCGCTATTACTAGACCAGTTGTGAACCGATTTTCTTCTTGCTTGCACGATGAGATGTGCAATTCAATTTTGGACAGGCAGCTATAATTAATTTCGCATTAATACTATGAGATATTGGCGAAAAACAGGAGAGGTGGGGCGAAATTCACTCTTCCCCCTCCACTGCGCGTGCTAACATGCGTTTGCATATGTGCCATTTTCTTCAAAACTTATGAATGGCCCACTCTAATTTTTTCACAGGTTGTTAAGAATATGGTAGGCAATAAAATATATGAAAATTAGCCAAATCGAAGGTGACGTGTTTTTTGCTATTTCAATTTTTGTGCTTAAGAACAGAGTTAAGCAAGTTTCAAGGTCATTTATTTAAGTAGGTACAATTCTAAACAAATGCTTAAGAAATTACCTAAACAGTAAAGTTTATTTCATTCAAATCAAACAAGTACAACCAAAGTTATGGTCGTTCAAAAATCTAAAGATGCAACATTTTGTAAAAATTCGATGCCCTATATTTAGAAGACCTGTGGTCAGAATGTGCAAAAAACATCAATGTAATGTTCGGGGCGACACAGGAACTCGCTCACAAATTTATAATGAAATCGCTGATGGTAAGGTGCAAAACAGCCGATTTTTGTTCGATTTGACGTGGAATGCCCCCAGAGTCGGAGTCGCAGTCGCCAACATCGTCAAAACACCGACTCCAGACTCGGAAGTGTCAATACTGTGATTCATTTCATGTTCCTCGTTGGTTTTTTATTACATTTTATAGCTGATTTTCATAAGTTTTGAAGTGCTGATACAAAATTTGCGTTCAAAGCGTGACACTGAATCTTCGGGCCTTGCTCAACTCTCGTCAAATGTCTGCGACAGACTCAAGTACCGTTCAAGTGCCACAGGGCTCATGACTGCTTGCTTTTCACACAGGCTCCGAAGGAGCTCCACTGAGCTCTAAGAAGCCTTCAGAGGGCCCAAACCGGCCTCTGAGAGTCCCACTGGTGTTCATATTCTCTGAGGGCCCATACAGGAATCTTTGAGGACCTTACACATGCGTAGACCTCTGAAGGGCCACGCGGATCTTTGAGGATATTTTCAAATATTTCTGAGAATCTTAGGCCTCTGATAGCTCAGCCGAGCTTTTGAGGTGACAGATTTTGCTGAGCCTAAGCCTGCAGTTTAGGGGTCACGACTCGGGTGTGCCTCTGAGGGTCCCAGCACATGTTTCTTATGTCCCTATGTAGGGTCCTTAGGGATTCGACACAGACCTCCAGGGTTCACACTGCTATTTGAAGGCTCCCTGCTCACCCTGGGCCTGGTCTCTTAGCGCCCGCCGCCGGCGCCGCCCACACTGGCTTCTGAGGGTCCCACCTTGGGCTCGGAAAGCCCTAAAGCACCACATATGTACACGTAACTATTTGGGGTGACCAGCGCCGATTTTCAGGATCCTAAGCAGGCTTCTGAGAGCCCACACTGACCCTGAGTGGCCTAAAATGGCCTGGAAGTCCCAAGCCTATCGCTAAAGGATCCCTTGCCGCTATGCCGTGCGAAATTTTGGTTCCGTTAAACGTCTTTTCTTCGCGTTTGCAGCGCTTCCCTACACACGAAAAACGAGAAACTTTTTGTTCACAATACACCTCCTCTCACTGGAGCAAAGATGAATTACTTCCGATTCACACTTCCGACATTCACTCTCCGCTGAAAGCCCTACTTAGCTTCAATCGGCGGCTGGGATAAGCCCTATGCATTTTACGTAGAACCTCTGCATGCATGCGTGAATGAAAGTTTCAGCAAGGTGATTCGCTTAAGCTGAGCGTTTAACCTTTTTATGATCATGAGCGACGAGCGTCTGCACAGGGGCTCTCCAGAGTGCGTCGGCAAGCGCAGCCATTGTGATTCTACCGGTCGTTTTTTGTTCAAAAATTTAAAAAAATTAAATTTTCTGTAAAAAAAATGGCAAGTCATAGCTACAAGGAAAACCTTGTCACCATCGTATTCCTCGCACCATTGCGCGTTGAATGATATGTAAAATGAATGAGTAACGACTGGAGGAAGGCAAGGTTTAACACAAAAGTTGATTTTGCCCCCCCAACCGAAAATCTCTGGCGACGCCTATGGTACCTATAGTATGACGTTGGATGTTGGTCTACATAATGGGCCGTAGCTAGGACTCTGCATAATTGACATTACTACCTACTGTTTATTCTTGCCAGTCTTTTTATAGTGAGAAGTGAGTGGTCATAAGCGTACCTAACATAACACAGTAACCAGCCTCATTCAAAACAGGGTTCTCAAGGACCAGTGGTGAAGCGGGCACCCCTCTGTCGTAGTCCCCTATCTGTCGGAACTCACCAGTAGACCGACAGCCAGTACCAGGCCGAAGTAGATGACCACCACGACCCAGTCGGCCCAGTGCAGGCCGGCCGCGCGGGCCGCGCCGGTCGCCGCCTCTGTGGTCGTCTCGGCGTCCATATGGAGCGTCTGGTCGCAACCCGTCACCGTCACCAGCACACGGTCTCTCGGCGCCCGACGGCGGCCCACTGGCTGCTGCCCGGCCGCACACAGGTGAGAGCCGGCCCGGAGCGCCACCCGTCCGCCCGCTCTGACCTTGGGAGGACCTTCGCGTGCGGCGCTCAGGTGCGCCGGGAACTACAGGCCGCCGCGCTGGAGAGCGCCGTCCGCGGCAGCAGCGGTGTCCTCGAACGACTGAAGACCGCGGGATTATATGACACTATCAGACGTGTATAAAAACTTAAGAAATTCTACGGGTAGAAGCCAACGCCGGCTAGTTCAGGCTCCGCCAGGCACGCGGTCCCCCAGATGAAGAGCTGTTCCGGGCGCCCGGGCGCTGCGCGTCACGGCTCGGGCGAGGTGCGTAGGACTGCAGTGCACTCGTCTGCGTGCTCGCTGCTTCTGACCTCAAGTGGTTAGTTACACCATGTCGTATATCTGAAAACACGACCGACAGAAAATCCCGGGCATGACGTCACATACGGGTTTCCTCGGCACTCGTCACCGCCGGCGGACATCCGTGGGTCAGAGTTCCGGGGAAATAAACACCAGCGACCAGCCCTGTCGCCGCAGGAGGGGGGGGGGGGAGGGCACGGGGTTCGCGCCGGCTGCACGACCGCTGGGCTGCCCCGGGGCGGCCGCAAACTCACCGTGTAGATACTCAGTTCCGGTGTACCGTCATTTCAATGTAATATGACGACCAAGACGACAAAATAGTAGGTTTGATGATAGCGCAATCCATAAATGGAACAATACCTTAAAACTAAATTTACCACCTCCAAAGCTGCTAAGCAATATTCTCGCCTGCCGGGAGGGTGGGGGGTGGCGGTTGCCGCCTCCCCGCTCCATAGGTTTTTTTCGCGATAGCTCTGTATGCGCCGGCGATAGAGAGCTGAAACTTTGCAAACCTGACCTTTGATCCAAGCCGCATCTTCTGACATCAACCGCATTTTTAAATCAGGTCAGGTCACTAACCTATGATGTCATAAGTGAACCTCTGCATGGTCCTCAGATGTTGCAACTTCGCAACGCCCTCAGTGCCAGAGAAACTTTCGCAAAGAGATGAAAATTACAGGATGTGGTATCCTCCAGAGATCTCACAACTTGCATATCTCGGATTTGTCCTTATTTTTACATGAGATTAGCTCAGTCACGTGACCTCACCATTAGGCGTAGGTAAGTCAATGGCGATAAATAAAAACTGCTATTTTAGCGCCGGGAACTATCTCAAACTATCTAAAGCACACGCAATCGTGATTTGTTGCATTTCTTGCTAGGTCCGATGCTTCACTTTTGCATTGTTGACCTTGCGTGGCGTCATTGATGACGTCACTTGGGTCGTAAAAGTTTTTCGTCAATAACTCCCGATCAAATTGAGCTAGCGAGTCGGGAAAGACACCAATGGACCCAGGAAGACCTGCCGAATCGAATGATATGCGATATGGCCTCCTTCGACCAACTTCGTGACCTGGGGGTCCTGACCTAACAACCAATTGACCCGAGTTCAACACCTCAAGTTGACCTCACCCGAACAAAAAGTATAGGAACCATTCGAACTGAGCGATGCGATCACGCTGATGCCGAAATCGCGGCGCTGCGACAGTTTTTTTTTGCGAAGTTGTTTATAAAAAACCGAACCCGTGCTTTGGGCGACTTGACCTTAGTTACTTCAGAGGTCACCGGACACCGGTTAACCTGAGACCTTAAAATCGGGTACCAGTCGCTGCTTCTCGTAACGGCACACACGCTCGCGAAACGGCGAGGGGGTCGGACGACGGACCAGCCCCCACCCGCACGGCGGGCGCGTATGTAGAAAACCAATAGGTTCGGCGAGGATTAATCCGAGCCGTTTCGAACGTGGTGACCTCGGGTGACCTCTGTAACAGTGAGAAGTCACGTAACCGTTTCCGCCTATGGCAGTCAATCTATTAGAGATGTCAATCGGATACCAACTTTTTGGTATACCGATACCAAACCGATACCAACTTGGTATTTGGTATTTCAATCCTAATGTGTTTGGTATTTTGTTGGTATTATAAACCCTTACTAAGGTATAAGAGGCTAAGAAATTGATAAAAAGTTGGTATTTCCCTCATCTTTCAAAGTTGGTTCGGTTTCGGTATTTCCCCACGGTTTAGGTTGGTATTTGGTTTGGTATCGGTATTCCGATTTTCTGTAATTGACATCACTACAATCTATAACTCAGGAAGTAGGTACTCGGCCAATCGAAACGAAAACACAACCAGCCGATTCGCCGTGTGCGATTTCATCAGCCGAATTGAATACGGTGGTCGGTGACCTCAGATGACCTTAGTGAGTACCTAGTGACCTCGAAAGATCAACTTGACGTTTTTGCCTACCTATAGCAGTCATTCTATAACTCAGGAAGTACTAAGCCGGTCGACATGAAAACAGCACCAGTTGATTTGCCGTATGCGATTTCATCTACTGTTTCAAATATGGTTATCTCAGGTGACCTCGGTGACTTCAAAAGGTCAACTTGACGTTTTCATTGCAGCCATTTTATAACTCAGGTCTCAGGAAGTACCATGGGTGTCGATTTGTATACCTTTGGGGGTGCTGCAGCACCCCCAATGCTCAAATGAGCACCCCCAATGGTTTTCCGGGCACCCCCAATGATTTTGTCCCTCAATAACTCCCACTAACTCTGCTTGAGGAAAATAATTGTTCTGCAGTCTTTCACTACAAAAATAAAACAATTACGCAATTTACAAGGCATGAAATAAAGATGTAAAGAAAAGAAAAGTTAGTTTTAAGAAGAAGGGCGAAAAAAGACGTTCAATTGCAAAGACACTTGTGTGGGTCCGTCCTACACGGGTGTCGGACTCTTAGAGCTGCTGGTGCGTACCCTTTACAAGCCGGCAGGGGGCTCCAGAGACCGGCGACGGGCCCTCAGAGGCCGGCAAAGGGCCATCAGAGGCCGGTGGTACCTTCAGAAAGCCTGTGGGGTCGTCTTTAGAGACCGGAACGGACTCAGACGCCGATGGGGCCCTCAGAGTCGCCGGTGTGGGGCCTTCAAATTAGAGCACTTCACGGATAGGCTTTTTAGGATCCGGCCCGGCCCATATCCGGCAAGTCATATCCAGATCCGCCCATTATCCGCCTTTCTTTGAATATCAGAATCCGGCCCACCCATGGCCCGTATTGCAGCCAAACTTCCAAAAAATATCCGTAATAATCCGTTTCACCAATAACTGGTTTCACCCAAAACTGGACTAACAAATTCAATCTAAGGGACCAGACAGCCATACATCTCACAGACCATCATGGTTCCAAAAACCATGCTTATAAACCTAAAACCACATGAAAATCACCACATTGGTAAACTAGGTATCATCCTGCCGCTTAACACATTAGGTTAATTTTTAACTTCAATGTTGAATGTTAAAATTTTGATCCGTTTTGATCCGGGTTCAACCTTCAATTCCCAAATCCGGCCCGCCCATATCCGTTCTTTTTTAACAAATTTAGAATCCAATCCTATCCGGTCCGCGGATTTATCCGTGGATAACGGATTTATCCGGCCCATGAAGTGCTCTACTTCAAATGTCACCGGTGGCAGGGCGGCCGTCACATGCGCACTAGTGGGGCCTTCAGAAGCTACGATGCTGGGCCCTCAGAGCCGCCGATATGGGGCCTTAAGAGGCACTAGTGTGGGGCCCTCAGATATGGCAATGTGGGGCCCTCGGACTGGAGGCGCCGGTGTGGGGGCTTCGCAGTCGCCGGTGACGGCCCTCACAGGCGCCGTTGTGGGGGCTCTCAGAGACACTGGTTTAGGGCCATCACAGGCGCGCGTGGGGCCCTCAGAACTGCTGTTACGGAACGGACCCTTCATAGGCCGACAAAAAGATCACCGGTCAAAAAGAGGTCACCGGTGCCTTCAGGAGCCTTGTGGGGTTCTCAGAGACTGGCATGGTGCGCTCAGACGCCGCTGGGACCCTCCGAGTCACCTGTGTGAGCCGTCAGGGTCGCTGGTAACTGACAATGGCCCTCAGAACCGCCCATGTAGGGTTTTTAAAGGCATTGGTGTAGGGCCTCAGAGTTAGGGGTGTGGGGCCCTCAGGGACGCCGGTGTGGCGCTCAGGGGCGCTGGTGAGGGCCCTTACAGTCGCCGTTATATGGGCCCTCAGAGAAATGGGTGTGGGGCCATTATAGGCGGGTGTGCACTGTGCAGCTCCTAGAGCTGGCCCCCTATAGGCCGGTTAAGACCCCCAGAGGCCGGCAAGTGGCCCTCAGAGGCTGGCTTGGGGCCCTTATGGAGATCTTAATGTTGGTACTTGTGGGCCCATGAGGTGTTCTTACGAGCCCTGTGGGGCCCTTCTGAGTCTAAATATAGCCAACGTGGACCCTCAGCGGCCAATTGGCGCCGCAGGGCCCCTCAGGCCCGAATAACCCGATGGGCCCCTGAACCTGATGGGGGGGGGGGGGAAATCCCGTGATTATCAGTACCTTATGGGGATACCCAACCATGCCTTGCACGGTTGTGCCCCATGGCAAAGCTGCAATCTTTCACCCGGTGCAGGGGTTGAGCACCCCCAACCATTTTGAAAAATCGACACCCCTGGGAAGTACTAAGTAAGTCCAATCGACACGAAAACACCACCTCCGCCAGTCGATTGGCGTAATATGCGATTTCATCCGACGTTTTGAATGTGGTGACCTCGGGTGACCTCTGTGACCTTGGGAGGTCACATAACCGTTTTTGTCATGTCAAGTGCAACCATTCTTTAACTTAGGAACTAACTGGCCGATCGAAACAAAAATACCACCAGTCTATTCGCCATATGCGATTTCATTGGCCTTTTGCATATTTAGTGACCTCAGGTGACCTCGGTGACCCCGAAAGGTCAACTTGACATCTTCACCTATTGTAGCCATTCTACAACTCAAGAAGTACTGGGCCGATCGAGACGAAAACACCACCAATCTATTCGCCGCATGCGATTTTTTAATCCGTTACGGATATGGTGACCTCTGCGACCTTGGGAAGTCACATACCTATCCGTTTTCGCCTATGACAGTCATTCTATAGCTGAGGAAGTACAGTCCACAGCAGAAGTAATGTGCGGTTTCAGTCATGGGTACCTATGTTCTGCTTCTGAAGCTTAGGAACGATTAGCCAGACTACAATGAAACTTTGAATGTAGCTTATATGTATCGTTACCCTTGCAGCTGCAACTTTAGCTATTGACATCTTCTTTTCGATCACTCCGCATTAAACAATCGCAGTCAAAGCCAACCGTGAGGTTGGTAAAACCCTACATTACTTTAGCGGTGGGCTGTACATACCTACTAAGCCGATCGAGACATCATTCTATTGAGCTGAACACCAGCCGGTTCGCCTTGTGCGATTTCATCGGCCGTTTTGAATATGGTGACCTCGGTGACCTCGTTAAGGTCGGCTGGACGTTTCCGCCTATCGCAGCCATCCTCTGCATGGTAATTCTATAGCAATTATATGGCCGAGGTCATCGAGGTCATGGCTGCAATGGGAAACGTCAAGGCATGAGTAGTGTGACCTTTCGAGGTCCCTGAGGTCACCATATTCGAAACAGTATATGAAATCGCATACGGCGAATCAACTGCACTGGGACGTGTAGCCAAGGGCGGGGGGGGGGGCACGGGGGCCATCCCCCTGAAGGCTAAAAATATAATAAAATGTAATACAAAATAAAAATAAATAACAACAACTGCACCCCCCAAAATAGTGGGCCAAAGGCCAAAGCCGAGGAGTTTTCCTTTTTGGAGGGGGTACGACACTAGGCCGCGACCTGTGGCCCCTCCCTGAGCAAAATCCTGGCTAAGTGCCTGATCGACTGGCGACTTCCTGTTTTCGTTTTGATCCAGTAGCGGCGGAACACCTTCGATTAGGATTTAAGGGGGGGGGGGGCACTGCCGACTTTTGGTCCCATTCTTTCCATGCAACGCCCATAGGGCCAGTAGCGGCGGAACACCTTCGCCAATAACTTAACGTTATTGGCGAAGGTGCCAATAACGCGCCCCGCTGGGGGGGGGGGCAGAATCTGCCCCCCTCTCGTTTTTCGCCAATAACTTCTAAACGCATTACGCCAGCGACGTCAAACTTTCAGTAGGTACTTATCATACATCAATTTGACATCTTCCCTGAAAATTGGAGCGAAATCCGTCGGAATTTTTTGAAAAAATGACTTTTTAGTGACGTCATGTTCGCCATTTTCGCCTCAAAAACGGCAAAATTTCAAACGCTGCTAACATCTTCATTTTTAAAGGAATCAAGACGTAACATAAAGGTTATACGTGATTCTACTTTGTCTATCAAATGGTATCTCGGTTTTTGAAAATTTTGGATTTTGGCCCAAATTTTTTAAAAAAACTGACTTTTTTGGGAAAATGATTATAAAATCCAAAATTTTGAGTGAATCGAAAAAAACGGAGTATATGTCAGAGAAGTGGTCTATGTGATTTTCAAAAGAATCGGTTAAAAAATGTGGGATTTATTTCAAATTTTATGACGTCACGACACATAAAATTTTTGAAAAATGATTTTTTTTGGAAGTTCTAGACCTCTTACAGAAACAAAAATAGCATCATTCGATTCGCCGTGAAAAACTACATCAGATTGACACCTTTTTAGGCCTTAACAACCAACTTCAAAATTTGACCTCACTTTCGACCTGATCTTGAACTGACCTTGACCCAAAATTCATCCAGAGGTGGTCCATATCACTTATTGAGTGTGCCTATTGAATTCTATGAATAAAATGACCCATAAAATATGTGTCGCACATGCTCTTTTCTATATCTTGTTTTTGGTGACCTGACCTGACCTGACCTGACCTTGACCTTGACCTTTGAATGATATTGTATGCAACGAATATTGTCTTGGTAGCCTAAGAACACATTTTGGGCAATCAGTCTCAGTCTCAGTCCATTCTTCCGCGGCAACTACGGTGCAAGGCCGATAATGTAGAAACTTGCATTTTGTACCCTTGACCTGACCTTGACCTGACCTCTGACCTACTTAAGCAAAAAAATGGGCTCTTAAGATCCGCCTTGTTGAGAGCTTTCGATTGCCGTTTTCCCCGTCTTTCTACGACGATCGGTTCGGAAGTTAGACAGGGGGGGGGCAGAATCTGCCCCCCCCCCCCAGCAGGGCGCGTATGGCTGAAAAGCCCAGCGGGGCGCGGCCGGTTAAGGGGGGCCACTGCCGACTTTTGGTCCCATTCTTTCCATGCAACGCCCAAAGGGCTAATGTTAAAATGCCAAAATCAAAGGGGTGCACGGTGCCCCGGTGCCCTCCCCGTTCCGCCGCCTATGTTTTGATCGGCCATGTGCGTAGTTCCTGAGTTGTAGAATGGCTGCAATGGGCGAAACCGTGAAGTTGGCCTTCCGAGGTCACCGAGGTCACTTGAGTTCACCATATTCGTAACGGCTGGTGAAATCGTACATGGCGAATCGACTGGTGGTGTTTTCGTTTTAATCGGTCCCATCGTTCCTCAGTTATTGAATGGCTGTAAGAGGCGAAAACGTTACCGTGACCTTTCGGGGTCAACGAGGTCACCTGGGGTAACCATATTCGTAACGGCTCATAAAATCGTTTCGTACCTATATTGACGCCTGGGGCCTATTCAAGGCTCAAGGTATGCGAACCCCGAACTGAGAACTCAACCCGGCGAATGTTTCGCCTCGGTTAGCGCCGAGCATCCGCCAAAATCTGGAAGATGGCGATTACGTCTCCTCTCCGTCAAAGGTCAAGGTGGAACATGGATGTAAAGAAAGCCAATAAAAACCGCCTAAAATTGCGTGGCGCGTGCTCAGGCACGGCACTCTGGTACTTGCGGTACTTGCTTTGAAATTCGCACGTTTTTGTACCTACTTGCTGCTCTATTCGACATTTGACCATCACTATACAATGAGAGTCTTTTTGGCGCGGGTGGACTGGTTTCATATCCGGCGCTCAAGGGGCACGAGTTTTTCCGTCTCACGTGGGCTGGGTAGGGATGATAGGGTGAAATATCGAAAATATCTGTCAATATGGGGGACGAAGAAGTAAATGAAAGCCTCAAGGAGGCTCTGCTTGATGCTATGAGTGGTACATTGTCGCCTATGGCTGATGTGAGGAAAGGTGCAGAGGAAAGACTGAAAGCATTGGAGGTAACCGATGGTAAGCATTTTGTATTGTATTTTTCAATCATTTTCCCCATTTTTCATGTAAATCAAGGTGCCTAAATACATTCCAATTCAGAAAACCTACACTGAGAATTTGCATCTGAAAATGTATACATTAAACTTAAGTCTTCCTTGGGAGGAGGTTCCGTTGTGAAAGCCGAAAGGTTGTGGTTGAATGCCATCTTTCTCTGTGTTCCAAACCATTCTTACAATTCAGCATTCATGTGCTATGGGGTGCTGAATGGGTGAATAATTTAAGCATTGTAAGCTGCTAGTCTGCTGCTTATGACAATTAGGAAATGCACCTATTTTGATATTCTAGTTTGTGAACATTCTATAAAGTTTGGCACTTGAGTCAATGAGCATCCCATCACCCAGGGTGATAAACCACTCCAGGCCTGAATGACCCGACTGTAAATCTGCAGGAAGCAACTCCTATAAATTTAATTTTCTCAGAATATTGCTTTTGGATGAGTAAAGCTTCAACGAAGGTCCAAGTGGTGGTACCTATTTATGGGGAATATTTGTTTCTGGTCCCTAAAAAGCTGTTTCTGGCACCTAATTGCTGATCAGCCCCAAAATGCTTATTCGACCCTAATATCTGAATCTGGCACCTAATTGCTTCCACACAGCCTAAAGTTGCCAGATCGTCTAGTTGAACTCCGTATTTGCTGTTTGCTGATTCAGCACCAAAACCAAAACTTCCAGCACCTATTTTATTCCACGTTTGCCTACCTAATTCGCGTAATCTTCCTGATTTTATGTATCCTAACAAACATGAACGTTGCATTTGGTGATGTCAAGTGCCATTTTCGCCAGTGGAGATAATGATTAATGCCATTTTTAGCCAAAAGAGAATCACTAGCCAGCTATGGTGCAGCATAGCAAGACGCTCCTATACCAGCCCGCTATGTAGAGACTAGAGATTATTGCACCCTCAGCCATTTTAACGTGAAAAGTTTGGATCCGTCACTTCCAGCCAGGCTCTCAGGTCATAAACTGGAGTAAAGCAAAATGTAAACTCTGAACAGACATGCCACGCAACCGGCCCTCTTTTCAATATTATTAGCTTTCTGCAATCATCGTCTGACTCCATCTCGATCAAACGCAGCATCCGGTTTCTACAGGGGCGTTTGACTGACCGGCCGGCCACACAATAACCAAAAACAAAATCAAAGCTTCATGCACACAAATGACATAAGTAAGAAACGGATGAAAAAGGCACAACCACGGCACAACTCTGCGCGGCAAACAACGGACACTATATATGGCCTTGCAACGGACAATGTCCCACGCAAGATCCCGCGTTTCTTCAGCGGCCTTGAACGGAATGAAAACATTACATTTCTTTTTTGGAGCTATTTGATGACGTCAAAAAATACAATACCCGTTTTAATGGTCAAAATCGAGACAATTACTCACAAAAATGTTTCCCTTTAAGCATTACAAATAAAAGCTTTTAAATATTTAAATGACATTGTTTTTTCAAACAAATCAATATTATTTGCTTACTTAAACGTCATATACAATGCTGAGATCACTACGGGGCTGTCTTAGAGTGTAGCTGCACTGGCAACCTTTAGACTAGACTCCAGGGGTCATTATACCAGAACAACATGATTCTACCAGCCAGTAGTTCATTTTTCTACTAGATTGGTGCTACGCTCAGCATTTAGGTGCCATATTCAGAAAAAAGAGTAAGGCGTACCGATGAATAGGTGCCAGAAACAGCTAATTAAGGTCATTTTCCATGATTGGTGCTGGTATCCACCAAATAGGTGCTGAGGACCAATTTTGGGGCGAGTCAGCTTTTAGGTGCCACAATTAAATGGCGTCCCCTATTTATTCACTTTGCACCAGCTGCAGTCCACACTAACTGGGTTAGAAATCCACACCAGCCAGCACCAAACAAGACCTAGAACTTTCACTATATAATTTATAAATCTGCTCTTGTAGCAGCCTAAGCTGCAATAAAAGGTTGATTATTCTCTGTCTGACTGCATTATGTCTTCTGTGCATTTTTTTCAGACATTGGAGTTTCAGTACAGAAGTAACAGGGGCTTACAACACTCCACCCTAATTCTGCATCACACCTCAGTAAATCTGCACCTCACCACATACTGGTGGAGTCCCTCAGCAGTCAGCACTGACAAGATGTTGTTGAGATTCTCATTATACTTTGCAATCTGGATAAAAGGGCTTTTCATTTCACGATTTCCTGCCTAACCCATTCTGTCTGAAATATATCAGTTTCTTGGACAACCCTGCACCATTACAATAGTTAATTAGACACAGGGCTCATTTTGGTCCAGCACTGCTCCAAGCAAAATCTACGCTGTTTCAGGGTAAATCTGCACCACACCATGCAGTGGCTGAGTGCCATTGTATACCACATGCATTTTTTTGCAGGAGTTGCCTTCCTTGTACCCTGTAGAATATGGGGTACAAAATACACCTTCACAAACATGCCATTATTAATCACCAGGTGTTCTACCATGCAAAGCCAGAAACAATTTTCTTAGGTCAGAGGTCATTTCCTGAGGCCAGAGGTCACCAGAACATAATCAGTTTTGCGTTTGTACGGCAGTACTAAGCTTCTTGGTTTGCTGTTACCAATTACCCTTACTTTTGCTCCAACTGTGTCCTAAACTACCTATGTAACATGAATGTTTCTGAATGTTTCGTACTTGAAATATTTTTTTTTATCGAGGGTAAAAGCACTGTTCTCTTACACTCCAAAACTCTAGCGGCAGTTGTTTGTGTCTCGCTTTATTGCAGGACCTGACTGTTTTATTTCTCAGAGTATGGCCGCCATCTGTCAGAGCTGACGGTGGATGTGCACTGCGCGCTGCCGATGCGCCAGCTGGCCTCGGTTATGCTGCGGCAGTACGTGGACACCCACTGGACGCCGGCCAGCGACAAGTTCCAGCCGCCAGAGCCCAGCGAGGCCACCAAGACGTTCATCAGACAGGTCGGGAAACATGCATTGGCTGTGGACAGCACATCTTGAACTTTTTATTCCAACTGCCTACACTAAACCACTCAACAATATTTGTTGAATGTGAATGTTTTGTACCTACTGTGATTTTGTGAATGTTTTGATAGAATACATGAACTTTGAGCGCCAAGCGGTACGTGCGGTCACACATCAACGACCTGGAGCAGCAGAATGACCCCTCAGACTACATTCGTCATGGCCTTCACGATTTATCACATGCCCGACCTCTTCCGTCCCGAGCTCTGTTACGGCTTGCGTTACTGTAAGCTGAGCCGCCCCGTTTCCCGTCTGTGTGCGCAGGTGCTGCCGATGGGCCTGAAGGAGTCCATCAGCAAGGTGCGCGCCTCGGTGGCGTATGCGCTCTCCTCGATCGCGCACTGGGACTGGCCCGAGCAGTGGCCGGAGCTGTTCGACATTCTAATGGCGTGCCTCAAGAGCGGCGACGAGCACGCGGTGCACGGTGCCATGCGCGTACTCACCGAGTTCTCGCGCGACCTAACGGACGTGCACGTGGCCCAGGTGGCGCCCGTACTGCTCTCCGAGTGCTACCGCATCTTTGTAGAGTCTGACGTGAGTATTACTCGCGGATGGAGAGTTGCAGGAGAGGTGTGCCATTGTAGTGATGGATAGCAATGAAGGCCCTCTGGGCCGCGTTTAAGCTATTTTTGATAGATAACTTTTGATATGCTTTGCTCCGCTGTTGATGCAATTTTGTGCATGCCAATGGGCAATGGCAACATTTATTAATTGTGTTAACGTCTCCGCCGCTCGCCACCGATTGTGTGTGCGCTGCCGCTGACGTGTTTCTGCACCGTACCGCCGGCTAACAACTGATGACGTTCTGCCGGCAGCGGTACTCTATCCGCACCCGGAGCCGCGCCGTGGAGATTTTCCACACGGTCGCCTCCCTGATCGCTACCGTGGCCGAGTACGACCGGAACCTGGCCAAGAGCCTGCTGGTGCCCGTGCTGCCCAAGTTCACCGAGGCGCTGGTCAAGAGCCTCAGCGTGCCCTACGGACCGGCCTCCGACTGCGGACTCAAGATGGAGGTGCTCAAAAGTAAGTCGACGTGGTGTTATCGTATCCCATCTAGCTTATGACTCATGGCCAGCTTACAGAAGAAGTATGCAGTGTGTCTGCACTCCGCAGCTCCTCACAGGCTGGCAGGGGTGAGGTCTGCCCTCACAGTAAGTGCCATCCCGTAATTGGTCTCCCCTCACGGAGCCGACGTCTGTTTCCAGCGATCCGGATGCTGGTGAAGAACATGCCGAAACACACGGTGCAGTGGATGGGCGAGATCCTGACGCCGGTGTGGAACACGCTGACTTCGAGCGCCGAGCTGTATGTGCGGTCACATATCAACGACCTGGAGCAGCAGAACGACCCCACCGACTCGGACGGTACGCTGCGGCCGGAGCTGGGTGTGGCTGAGGGTGTGGTGTCGGGTATAGGTATCGGTACTGGTACCGGACGGTACGCCGCGGCCGGGAGCAGTTGGTGGGCAGTTGAAGTGAATGCAGTGACGGTTTGTGCTGTCCGGAGAATTAGTTTCATTAATGTTGTATGAGCCAGAATTTTGAAACTGTACAGTGTTTTTGCCGGCAATTTTACCAGAATCTTCTACAAACTGAAATTGTTCGTTTCGTGTTCCCTGACAGTCACAACCATATGTCATTTGCAGGTCAAGTTTTATCGTTTGAGAACTTGGTGTACAGCATTTTCGACTTTGTGACGGTGCTGGTGGAGACGCCCAAGTTCCGCAACTCGGTGCGGCAGGGTCTGGACGACCTCGTCTACTATGTCATCGTGTACGGCCAGATCACAGAGGACCAGGTGGGTGGCGCGCACCGAACGAGCGCCGGGTGACCGAGCGGGTGGCAGTTGGTGCTCGTCTGAGGCCGGATGGGGACGGGAGGGGGGGGGGGGGCTACGGGCTCTTTGCCTCGCAAATGGATGTACTCTATGTATTGTGTGCATAACATTTCTATTGTCGGATGCACTTTTGGTAAATATTTTCGTTTGTTTTAGTAGCATGTCATCCATGATACCTAGTATGTATTTCGGTTTTTACTAGAGAAGCTCAGACGTCACTCGCCACTCGACCGGCTGTGTGTGCTGCGTTCTGTCGCTGTGACTGACGGCGCTCTCTGTCACCGCAGATCAACACGTGGTCACACGACCCGAACCAGTTTGTCGAGGATGAGGACGAGGAGACGTTCAGCTACTCGGTGCGCGTCTCGGCACGAGACCTGCTCGTGGTAAGTTTGGGTGTGGGGAGACGTTCAGCTGCTCGGCGCGGGACCCTGCTCGTGGTAAGTTCGGGCGTGGGGAGACGTTCAGCTACTCGGTGCGCGTCTCGGCACGAGACCTGCTCGTGGTAAGTGCGGGCCGGCTGGTGGCCATCCATGATCCAATGACGGAACTCATGTGACATTTTGTGGGATGCACTGCTATCTGGGCTGTTCTTCTTTTGCTTTGTTACACAGTTATTTGGCTGGTGTTTTTGTGTCCCTCGGCCCAGACGTTTCATGTAGTTTGAAAGTTTGCCTGCCCACTGAGACACACCATCCTCGTCTTTGACTGTATCGTCACAAATCTCCTTGATGCGACCGAGTCGCGGCAATGATGGTTATATGCCATGCCGTAAGCACCGATTCTGTTCTGTTACTGTCGTTTATCCTATCTCAGGCTTTGTGTGCCGCTGCAGCCTGGGTTTGTGCCGGTATTTCTGCCTGTGTTTCTGTCCTCTCTCACTCCCCCCCCCCCCCCAGCAGTAATCTGTACCGTTGTAACCCGCCCTGCCCCGTCCACGTAGTCTGTGTACTGTGTAGTGAGTTCGAGGGCGAATCGATCCGGCCACGGTGCGCCGCCGCTGTTCCCAGTCACAATGTGTACAGTTGTAACCCGTCTCCCGCCCCACAGAGCCTGTGCCGCGAGTTCGAGGACGAGTCGATCCGAGCCGTGTGCGCCGCCATCTCTCGGCACATGCAGGAGGCGGCCGTGGCACGACAGCAGGGCCACCCCTTCTGGTGGAAAATCCACGAGTCGTGCATGCAGGCCATCATCGTGTGCAGCGCCCAGGTGGGTAACCGGGGAGCATCGTGTGGGAAGAAGGCTAAGAGTGGGGTGCTGTATTGGTCTTTGGCTGTCTACCTTTTCTCTTCTTTCGTAAGTAATATGCGTCGATCGTAAAGCGATAATATGTTGTTTTACGCATGTTGCTGTAACAAAGCGTATTTAAGCACTTATTTTAGCAACGTAATCATTAAAATGTCTATGATCTGACGTTTGCCGGATTGTTATTGTAGTTTCCGGTTTTCTAACGCAGTTAACATGCGTTATGTCCAGCTACCTTCCTTTTCGAAAGCCTCAATTGCGTCGGTGAATCATTCTTATAATGCATTCAAATGACTCATGGGGGTGTGCTGTTTCAGCTGCTCTGCCAACTCTCCGAGAGTAAAGTGCAATTCGATCTGATGGGCTTCCTCGAGAACGTGGTCGTGGCAGATCTGAGCTTGGAAGGTTAGTGCCCTTCTTACCTTTGGATAGTGAGTTTGGAATCGATTGTCTGACTTGGACTGTGAATTGGTGACTGTACTGTGTGTCTGGTGTAATACTCGCCCTCTGTGTTCTCCGGCAGGCGCCTCTCCGTTCCTGTCGGGCTGGTGACTGTGCTGTGTCTCTGGTGTAATACTGACCCTCTATGTTATCCCCCAGGCGCGTCGCCGTTCCTGCTGGGCCAGTGCCTGGTGACGGCCAGCCGGTTCGGCGGCGCGATGAACGTCACCCAGACTCAGTCGTTCCTGCAGGCCACGGTGACAGGCCTGGCGAGCACACAGCCGCCCGTGGTGCGCACCTCGGCACTCAGGTCAGTTCAGTGGCCGCTGCTCGGTTCTCAGGTCGGTTGGAGTCACCACTCGGTTCTCAGGTCAGGGGGGGGGGGCGGACTAGTCACGGGTCGGTCCTCGGTCAGTCGGATCGGGTCACCACTCGGACTGCAGGTCAGTCGGATCTCGGATCTTCACTTGTCCCCACCCTGTCAGTGAGATGATCTACTCAGCTATTCTGGAGCACGCCTCAGGCGGCTCCACTCAGGTGGTAATCTCTCGGCTCAAAGTCAGCCGGCTAGTATTGAATAACGGATATGATTTGAATCAGGGGCGGTACTTGTATTCCCGAGACATTGGGTCAGGACACTGTCGCTTAGACCCTACGTGCGCGTGCACATGTCTGCTGTAAAATTAAGGTTTGTCGGCGTACAATGCGGGTGCCGACAAAAGCGTTTGCTCTTTGTTTATTTGCGGAGCCACGACTCTCGCGCGTGAGATTTCTGCTTTGCTAAACCATTGCGTGCGTAATTACGTGTTACGCACGGCTGTTTATTACGTTTATAACATGTAGTTGTAAGTTGTGACATCATATTATATGCACACTGTTCGGTATCTACCTCTGGCCATGTCAGTGCAATGTGTTGTCTGTATCTGTGTGTCAGGGCCATCATCGGCTTCTGTGAGGTGGTGAAGGAGCGGGCCGGCGGCGCGGAGGTGCTGCGACCCTTCCTGGCGCCCATCGTCGACAGCCTGATCACCTTCATCACCCAGTACCACGGCGGAGAGGTGCTCGCGTTGATGCTCGAGGCCATGTGCAGTGTCGTCAGCGTGAGTAGAGGGGACGGGACAGGCCGGGTCGCTGGGAGGGTGAATGGGGGTCCATGTAAGTGGAAGTGGCGGGTCAGGGGATCGCCAGGGAGGGTACTGTAGTGGGGTCAGTGAAAGTACTGAGAAGTAAGTGAGAGCAGAGTGTGTGTTCAGAGGCCGTGAAACTGACCCTTTCCGCTCTGGAAGGCGCATTTGTGATGCGCGTTCTGCGACAGGGTTGGATATTTTTGTCTTCGCTTTGGAATGGGGAGTAACGTGGTTGTTATTTCCGGTTCATTATATGTAGTCATTTTTTTTTTTTTTTTTGAACTCGGCAACTGGCGGGGTGGCATAACTGTTAGGTTTTCTAAGGGGTTTGAGCGAGATAACTGTTGCCGTTGAGATTTTGTTCATTACTTTCGGACACACGATTAGTCAGCGTGTTTTGTGTCTGACCGGTCTATTTTGACGTTTCAGGTCGACAAAGCGTTCACAGCCACATACGAGACGAAGATCACACCACTCGCCATAGCTGTATTCCTTAAATACAACAAAGGTGAGTACTGAGTAGTACATTTTGTACAGCCATTAATCCACAGTAGTTATTTTGGCTGAGATTGTTTCGTTCTCTTTGTGATGGGCTGTGATTCGACGATAGTGAATGTTTCCTACTGCACCGGGCTCCATTCCATCCTTAGTGGGTCGTCCCCGACCATTGTATTCCTACTGCCCCGGGCCCTGTCCCGTCAGTTATGGTGGGCTGTACCCGACCGTCGTATTCCTCCGGCCGGGGCTCTGTTAGGTCTACAGTGTACTGTCTCCGACCGTTGTACACGCATTCCTACTTCTGCGGGCTCGGCACCGGGTTGTCCCCCGACTCCCGACTGCTGCGGGCTCTGTTCCGCAGTGTTCCATTTTTCAGACTTTTTGGTGGCAAATCACACCTAATGGGGAAAATATTTTCATCCCTAAAATATGAATGACCGACTTTACTTCATCTCTGAAAAATGTTTCGTTTATTCCCAACAGCCAGTTTACATGTCACTTGACAGTTCCTGCACCCTCATCCTTTTGTTTCACACCATGTCAAGATCCTGACATGAAATCCTGGTTTATCAGTTGGCATAAAATTGGCATTAGGTACACCATTTTGCAAAAATACTCCAGTTATTTACTTCCCTTTTTCTCATCCTAGGATTTTTGTTTCTTCATCGGCACACCCAACCAAAATCAAATTTTAGAACACTGCTGTTCCGTCTACAGTGGATTGTCCCCAACCGTTGCATTCCTACTCCACTGGCCTCTGTTCTCTATACTCTGTAATATTCCGTGTTGTCCCCGACTGGTAGTGGCTGTGCTATTACTGAAGCACTCTGTGCTCCGCCTGTGTTCCAGATCCGGTGATGGTTTCGCTATCGCAGGACATATTCCGCGAGCTGTCCAAGAACGAGCAGTGTCTACAGGCCCTGCAGAGCCGGCTGGTGCCCACACTACTCAGTATACTGAAACAGGACCCGCAGAAGCTACCCGGAGGTGAGAGCCGCGCCCGGGCGCTACGGGTCGCCACACCGCGCTCTGCCGTGAACAGAACGGTTCACTATGCCGGACTGTACGGGACAGACCTGTCGGGATATGCTCATGGTGGGCGTTGCAGTCCCTCATCTGCTCTAGTTTTTACTTGTCACGTTTGCGATTTGATTAAGAACTGGGGTGCGTGGGCGTCCATTGCAATATTCGTAAATTGCTTCTCGTATGTAAACAAGGCTCTCATATTTTTTTTGTATTGCTGTGACGATATCGAACACCTTGGTATTATGGTAGTTCAATCGTCTAATATGTCCGTGCTTTAGGATACTGACAGTATCTGCCATATCCTCCAGGCCTTCAAACTGTGTTGCTGGATGTGTTGTGGGATACTGACCAGTGTCTGCTATACCCCCAGGCCTCCAGATGGCGGCGTTGGACGCGTTCTAGGATAGTTACCAGTGTCTGCCTAACCCCCAGGCCCTCAGATGGTGTCGTTTTACGTATTTTAGGATACTGATCTGTATCTGTTATACCCCCAGGCCTCCAGACGGTGGCGCTGGACGCGTTCTAGGACACTGACCAGTGTCTGCTATACCCCCAGGCCTCCAGACGGTGTCGTTGGACGCGTTCTAGGATAGTTACCTACCAGTGTCGGCTATACCCCCAGGCCTCCAGACGGTGGCGTTGGACGCGTTCTAGGATAGTTACCAGTGTCTGCTATACCCCCAGGCCTCCAGACGGTGTCGCTGGACGCGTTCTAGGATAGTTACCAGTGTCTGCTATACCCCCAGTCCTCCAGACGGTGGCGTTGGACGCGTTCTAGGATAGTTACCAGTGTCTGCTTTACCCCCAGGCCTTCAGACGGTGTCGCTGGACGTGCTCCAGACGCTGATCCGATCGTCGACACCTCCGCTCAGTGAGCTGCTCATCAGCGAGGCGTTCCCGGTGGCTGTGCGCTGTGTGATGCATACGGACGACAACTCCACAATGCAGGCGAGTCTACTGCCAGTACTGGTTGTTATTGATGTTGTAGTTAGGCTCCGTTCAGCCGTTACCGCGGCGTAGCCGTACGGCTCTGGAGGGTGCCAGTACTGGCCGCTCGCTGTAGAGGGCGCCAGGGTAGAGAGAGAGAGACTCCGGAGAAAAGTGCCGGTATAATTGGCACCAGGCTGAACGAGAAACTGGCGAGAGAAACTGATTAAACCAGAAAGCCATGACGTTTGTGACACCGTATCGTGCCTGTATGGTATGCGTACAGCTGTCGTGTGTTTGACGCTGTATTCTGTCCTCCCTACCACAGTCGGGCGGCGAGTGTCTGCGCGCGTACGTATCGGTGGCCACGGAGCAGGTGTGTGCCTACCGGGACAGCCAGTCGCGCTCGGGCCTCTGGTACCTGATCCAGGTGTGCACCCAGCTGCTGTCGCCCACCGCCTCAGAATTCTCGGCAGCCTTCGTCGGCAGGTGGGTGGCGGGGGCGGCTGTTGGGCCCGGGTGTTGGGTCATGGGGCGGCTGTTAATAGGGGGAGTGTTGGGTCGGGGGCAGTCAGGGGCTGGGTGTTTGTCACGGGCGGCAGTGGGAGGCTGGGCGTTGGGTCATGGGACGGCAGTTGGGGGCAAAGGCCTTGGTCGGTCTGGGTATCTGCTTGTAGGGCGGGAAGACGCCGTTTGGAAAACCAGACTTTCGATGGTGAGAGGCTAACGGGGCGATAATCTGGGCAGTGTTTGATGTTTGTGTTTGTGTCTGCCAGGCTGCTGATGGTGATAGTCAGCAGACTGGGCGATAATCTGGGCAGTGTTTGATGTTTGTGTTTGTGTCTGCCAGGCTGCTGATGGTGATAGTTAGCAGACTGGGCGATAACCTGGGCAGCGAACTGGAGACCCTGCTACGGGCGACGCTCAGCAAGATGGTCAGCTCACAAACTACCATCGTCATACAGGTCAGCCAAGGCTGCATGCGCAGTGCGCACCCAAATCCGTCAGATATGGTGATAATTGTCAACGCTCTGTTTCCGGTATCGCAACTGTGTTTCAATTTCATCAGGCTTGTGCTTGCGACTATGAACGTTGGAGTAAACATCACTAGTCTGAATTCTGATTAGTAGTAGTAGTAGTTTATTAAAGAGCCATCCACAAGACAAGTGGCTATTATGGCCTTCACGTCAATAAAATCGGATCATAACATGCAGGGTAAAATACACACTCACGATGTTACACAACCTAAAATATACATATAGCTCAGGATAAAAAAACACCACCTGCACGGCATCATGATAAAAAACGCGTTCATTACGTGTCTCGTCTCGAGAGTAGGTGGGCCTTCAGGGCTCGCCTGAACCGCGGACCTCGCTGGTTCCGCACCGACATGGGCAGATCGTTCATGAGGTGGGGCGAGCGGTATACAAACCGTCGCCGGCCCGCCTCCGAACGGATGGGTGGCACGTGCAGGAGATCGTCCTGTCTGGTGTGCCGGACATGGCCATGATGGTCCCGGTTGAGGCAGACCTGACGGGCAATGCATTCGGGCTGGCTAGAGGAGAGGACTTTGTCAAGGAGGCAGAGGGATTGGTATTGGAAGAGTTGAGACGAGTCGAGCCACCCCAGCCTGTCTCGCACAGCTGACACGCGGTCAAACTTTCGTTTTCCCGCGATCACGCGAGCCGCAAAGTTGAGCAGCTTCTGGATGGTTGCGAGGTTGCCAGCGCTGCCGCTGCCGTAGACAGAGAGGCAATAGCGGATGTGCGAGACGGCCAGGGCGGTGACTATCTCGGGAAGGGTGTCAGGAGGAAGGAAGTGGCGGATGTGGGATAGTGTTGCGAGGATACCGCAGCATCTACGCGAGACAGCCCTCACGTGCGCGTCCCATGACAGGTGCTGGTCGAAGACCACACCAAGATTTTTGGCCTCAGTGCTGGGCGTCAGGCACGTGTCCTGGTATCTGATTTTGATCGTCGGGAGGTTGCGCAAATTTTGTCTAGAACCAAAAGTGATGAGTTCGAATTTGTTTACGTTAACCTTTAAGCCGTTCGCAAGGAAGTAGTTGCCAAGAGAGGAAAGGGTGCTTTCTATGCGCGATGCAAGCGCTGGAAGAGCAGATTTAGGGCCGGAAACCAAGACCTGGGTGTCGTCGGCGTACTGGATAACCAGTCCATCGGAGACGTACAAGCTCAGGTCGTTGGCAAACGCGCAGAAGAGGACAGGGCCGAGGCTAGAACCTTGAAAAACGCCCTGGTTGATGGGTAGAGGAGGTGAGATTTTGACGCGGCCATCAGAGGAAGTGAGGCTTACACTCTGCGAATGACCGGAGAGATAATTTTGAAACCAGGATGTGTTGACGCCCAGCAGCTGGAGTTTTTCGAGCAATTTAGCATGACTGATAACATCGAAACACTTGCTAAGATCAATGAGACAAAGAATGGAGAGAAGCCCAGAATCTGTAGCAGCAAGGATGCTGTCGGTGACGCACGTGAGGGCGGTCTCGGTAGAGTGCTGCGGACGGAAGCCATGTTGGGTTGGGGAGAGGAGATGGTTGGAGGAAAGGTAGTAGTAGAGTTGGCGCTGAACTGCCCGCTCCACTATTTTGGCAAGGACTGGGATGATGGAAATAGGACGGTAGTTGGAAGGATCGGCAGGATCACCGGACTTGTGGATGGGATGGACGAGGGAATGCTTCCAGGATTCCGGGAAGATATTGGAGATGAGGGAGAGGTTGACGATATGGAGGAGGACGTGACTGATGGCGTTGAAGGATAGCTTGATGGTTCGAATGCAAAGTCCGTCAGATCCGCGGGACGGGGAGTTGCTCATGGAGCTGATGATGGCATGTAGGGTGCTGAGCGTGATCGGAAGTAGCCGGAAGGCGCAGGCTCCCACCCTGGGCAGTCGCGGGGGAAGTGAGGGGGGCGGACCCTGTGCGGCGAGCTCGGCGGCAACGCGTGGGCCGACATGGACAAAAAATTCGTTCATCTGTTCGGCGGAGATGGTAGGTGGTATCGTGCACGCTGTCTGGTGGTGATTATGGTGTACAGTGTACACTGCCTCCCTCAGAGTCCGATAATGGTGTACCGGCTCTGGCTGTCTGCCTATAACTCTTGTCCGTGTATGACTGTGTCTCCACTCCATCCCCCTCATAGTCTGATTATGAGGTACGCGCTCTGTCTCGTTCTCAGAGTCTGATAATGGTGTACACGCTCTGTCTCCCTCAGAGTCTGATTATGGTGTACGCGCTTTGTCTCGTTCCCAGAGTCTGATAATGGTGTACGCGCTCTGTCTCTCTCGAGTCTGATTATGATGTACGCGCTCTGTCTCGTTCTCAGAGTCTGATAATGGTGTACGCGCACCTGGTGAATCTGCAGCTGGAGGCGGTGCTGTCCTTCCTCAGCTCGGTGCCAGGCCCCTCCGGTCAGTCGGCGCTCCACTTTCTGCTGACAGAGTGGTGCGGCCGGCAACACCTCTTCTACGGCAGCTACGACGTCAAAGTCAGGTATGCAGCGCCGGCAGAAACTCAGCCTGCTTAAATAACGTCTCCTAAATAATGAGTCAGCTCCTCCACTCACCTCCTAAATAATCCTAAATAACGATCGAATGACGAATTAGAGCAGACCAGGCAATCCGGGAAGCAAACGTTCATTGATGTCTAATGTCCGCTCACCGTTGTTTTCATATTTTTAGGGGATAATATTTCATTGATTACCAATTTTATTTGTAGTAATTTCGTGCTTTCGGTTGTTTACGTAAAATGTTGGCCGGAGGGTAACAGCGATGCCTTTTGACATGTCTTCTCGCCCTTTCTGTCAAATGTGTGACCAATTATGGCCCTTCATAAGCTGCTGAGTGTTATGTCCGAGCCACTAGCCATTGTCATAGGTCCACTCTTGCCCCCGTAGTGAATGGCCCTGTCTAAACTGTTGGATCTAACGTACAAGCTACCAGCGGATCTGATGTATCAGTGTGACCAAATTCGTTTAGCGTTAGGGGGAGGATGTTTAAAAAAGTCGTACGAGGATGTCACTATTTTCAAAAAACTCGTCTTCGGCCTCATTTTAGGTGCAGTTTTACAGACAATGTGGGAAAAAACTATACCTGACGTCAAGTTCTGGTGGAAAGTAAAAAAACAACAACAAATGTTGTCATTAAAGATGTAAAAAACGACATTGCAAGCGCGACAGTACGAGTATGATGGTGCGAATCGTACATTGGAACATTTTCAGTCTTTATTCCCACACTAGGTAGGTATGCTTTTACGACAAAAACGTCGTGATGATGTAATTTTAAAATTTCTGAGGATGTCATTATACTTTTCATTGGGGGTGACTTTCCCCGCAACATCACCAATTTGGCCACACTGTGATGTATTGACTGTCCCTTCCTCACCTGTCCTCAGTGTGATGGCCTTGTGTAAACTGCTACAACATGGCGTCAATACGCACGACTCGCGACTCAGCGAGATCACCGTCAAAGGAGACGAGGTAAGAGTCCGATTTTGTACGTACGCGACTATCAGAATGTTTCCGTATTCATTGCCGCTAAAGAATGGAACTTCGGCTAATTTATCGGTTTGATTTTTTTTTTTTTAACTTGGCATAAGAACTGCTCTGGCTGAAGGGTGACTGAGTCAGTTACCCCCGGCTCATTGGACTGTACTGTGACTGACCCCTGCCGCCGTCCCGCAGGTGATAAACACGGGCGGCTCGGGGATTCGCACCCGGTCACAGCGCGCCCGAGAGCCCGAACAGTTCACTTCCATACCGGTCCTAGTCAAAATATTCAAACTGCTCATCAACGAGCTCTCGTCGGCCATCGAGCGAGACGCCGGCAGCGAGGTGAGGTCGCGCGACTGGTGAAGGGGGGGGGGGGGTGAGATCGCGCGGCTGATGAAGGGGGGGGGGGGTCGCTGTTGTGGGATCGTTCGACTCCGCTGCTCGGGCTACGGCTTATAACGTGGAGAGTGGGAAGAGGGTGTGAGATGCGGACCGGGGTGAAGTAGGGAGCACAGGGCGAAGGCATTGTGTTTCGTGATGTGCCGTTTCCAATTTGCGAGATGCTTACAAGCCATATAGTAGTGAACGTGGTATATGTTGGATGCACTGCATTTGGCCAATAATTTTCCAACAATAATTGCTTTCTCGTTACGGTTGTGGAATTGTCCGTCCCGGCCCGCACACAACGCGTCTGACACATGCTGTCATATGTCATATGCCTTCCCTGCCCGCGGACAGTGCCAATACCGTCTGTCCGTCCCCTCTGGCGTTGACGTACTGACCCGCCACCCTCGGTGTTTCAGTCGGAGAACGAGGACGAGTACGAGGACGGCGAGGACGAGGACCCGGAGAGGGTCGACCTGCCCGAGGGCGTGCCGCTCTCCCAGGTTCTGTCAAACGACTTCCAAGGTCAGTCCGCAGCGGCCCGGCCCACGCCGACCGAGCACCATGGCACAGGGCGGGGCTTCACTGGGCGGAAAACGACGGTGCTGAACAGCGCCAACGATTTACCGAAACTGAGCGTACCCTTCCCTGAAAAGACCCCTGCGGAAGATTCATAATTGATCGGAGGCTGCAGACATCGCTCTAACCACGCCTTCTTCATTGCATTGCATCGACCGCCGGCCCTGCACTGATACGCGACTCAAGACACTAACTGTTTTGGTGTTGCTGAATTTATGATCCCAGTTGATCTAACGATAAACTACTGGTAGGAGCTGCGATCCAAAATGGATACCATTTGAAGACATATCCTGGATCCATAATTTCATGGCACGTGGCGACAAGATAAGGACAAGGATCAAATATCTGTGTAGTTCTAGGCAAAAAAAAAATAATGACCCCCAGGCGAACACATCGGAGTGTGATCACCTAAGATCATTAAAACAGAACCATTTCAGATTGCGCTATATGTTCATTGAACACATAATAATCCCAATGAGCACCACCCCAGATCAAAAGTCGTGGATCGTGTCTTGTGGCGACCTCGTCTGGAGAAGGTACTGCCCGAAATTGTAGCCCTCCACGAGCGTAATTGGGTGTGGTGCTATGTTTGCGAGTCGGAGGGTGTGAAATCGCTGATCACTGCTTTTTGTAAGCTGAGACTGTGTTCAGGATTGGTAGTTTTCGTAATTTGTTAAAACTAATCAAAAGTTGGCAGTTTAGTGAATCAATTACGAATGAAAGTGAAATTATTGTTTTATCAGATTACTGGAATTACTCTTCAATTTCTCTTGACGGCTGATTCGATTCTAACGATTTACGTGCTGCATTGGAATAAGTGGATTAAAAGCGGACTAACATCATCGCCAGGTGTCATAGTCTTCGTTTTTGCGTTCGTCGCGGTCGTTTCACAGGTCATCATGCATTTATAGCGATTAATTCACGAAAAGGTTATTTGCTGCGCTGTTTGTGCACCCGCCGTCTGCCGCTGTCTCCAAATGTGCAACTTCAGCATCCCTCTACGGTTGGTATCTACACAGTCAGTAGGTTAGGTAATTGTAACACAATTTTGAAATGTAGCCACGATGTAGATTTTCAGCTCACTTTATCCAGTGTCTTAGTCTGGGACTTGTCTTTGAGACGGCGTCTGTGCCGCCTCGTCCGGTTAATGCCATGTAGACGCCATGTTGTCGGCAGATCACGGCAGACACGATGTCTGTGTCAGTGAGTTGCACGACGTTGTCTATGTCGGCAGGCTTCTACTTTGAATCGTTGTTTGTAATGGCAGGCTACTAATTTTCCAATGTCTGTCTACATCAGCAGGTTACGACTTTGACGCTGTCTGTGCTGGCAGGTTACGACTTTGACAGTTGTCTTTGTGCCTGCAGGTTGCAACTTTAAATGTGTATTTGTGCCTTCAGGTCATGACTGACACTGTCCTTGTGACTACATATTACGAATTTGGCATTGCCTTTGTGGCTGCAGGCTACGACCTTGACACTGTCATTGTGCCTGCAGGCTGCGACTCTGACACGGTGTCAATCGTTACAAGTCATAAGAATACTATATACCTACAGGTTTAAACTTAGTCCGTCTGTGCATGCAGGCTACGACTTTGACACGCTGTCTGTGCCTGCGGGTTACAACTTTGCCTGTATGTCTGCAGGTTACGACTTTGTACCTAGTATGCCTGCAGGTTACCACTTTGACACTGTCCTTGTGTCTGCAGGTTACGACTTTGACACTGTCTCTGTGTGTCGACAGGCTACGACTTTGGCGTTGTCTTTGTGCCTGCAGGCTGCTACTTTGAGAAAGTGTCTGTGCTACGACTGTGACGCTGACCACATGTCGGCAAGTGGTGACTTTGACCCTGTCTCTGTGTCTGCAATTCTGGACTTCGACACTGTTTTTGTACCGTTAGGTTACGACTTTGACACTGTTTGTCTGTGCCTGCAGGTGACGACTTTGTCTCTATCTCTGCAGGTTACGACTTTGACACTGTAGAAGAGGAGGACGCGCTTTGTATTGGTAGTTAACGACTTAACCACTCTCTTTATATCGGCAGGTTACGACTTTGACACTGTCTCTGTGTCTACAGGTTACGACTTTGACACTGTAGAAGAGGAGGAGGACGCGGACGCGCTGGCCGACCCGGTGTACCACGTGGATCTGAAGCAGTACCTCACCGAGTACCTGGCCTCGTTCTGCCAGCAGCCGTACATCGCGCTGTTCGCGCCGCACCTGCAGACCAGTGAGCGGCATGTGCTCGCTCAGATCGGCGTGCGGACCGTCTGAGACCGGCACACACTAGACGCCCGGTGTGCGCGAGAGTGTGTGATTAGTGAGTGACGACAGCGGCGCGCTGTGCACCCGCTGTGTGCCCGCTGGGACGGGGACAGTGCTGCCGCCCTCACCGCCGAGCGCAGGCGGCGCTGTTTGGCGCGGACGGTGCCGCCGCCCGCGAGCCGGGTACAGGCGGCGCTGCGGTCGACAGAGGACCGGCGCGGCTCGGTGCTGATAGTCACTGAGGAGGCCGCCGCGGAGCTGTGAATGCCGGGACGGGAGGGGAGCGAGAGCGCTGAGAGTGTCAACCCGACTGGGACAGGTTCCCGCTGCCCTTGTAAGCGTGACAGTGGATTTACCGGCGCAGTGATCACATTAAATGCATGGAGGGAAGCTATATTTTTAATATGGCTCTTGTAACAGTGCGGTTTTTACTGGTTAGACACTGTACAGAGGGTTTGAGCTTGTGCGCTGGTGTTTGTGTGGATGCGTGTTCTGTTATCCGGTACCTCCGGAGCCGGCCGGCGCCCGCGCACGCCGACTGTTGCGGCGCCCCCTTCTCCCGTCTGTCGGCGGCGCTCGGCCCGCCGGTGGCAGCGGCGGTCGGCCGCCGCCCCCTGCCCAGTCTCCGACGCACGCGAACTGTGGGTCAATTCCCGGCCGACCCAGGCCAGGCCGCCGAACGGTGTGCAGTCACATAGGCCGCGGCCGACCCGTAGGCACTGCATGACCCGGCCCGCGGTAGCTCGGGAAGCATTTATTTATTTTCACCCACATTCGCTTTAAATATATAGTTTGATTCTGGAAACGTTCTGGTGTCGTGTGAAGTGTGTAGCTTGTGGTGGTGGCCTTTGAGTGCAGCCTTTGAGGGCTGCGGAGTGCAGGTGTCATACCCGAGTGGCGACGGGCATTGACATTCAAATGAAGGCGTCCTCTGAGTAGAATAGGAGCGCGCCAGTCACTGCGCTGGTCGTGACTTGCCAGCCCTCTCCCCATTGATGCCAAGTATCATGAGGTAGCATCTGAAGAGTCACGGATTTCGCACCGAATAACCCTTACGCAGATCAGTTAGCTTGAGACAGACGTGTTTCATCGCCGCTGACCTACATCTGGATCTGCTTCGGATACGTGGCTCATGGGTCACCAGCGCAGGCGAAAGCATGTGAGACTGTTTAATTTGTCCTACCCTGTGGATATGCTTTAACAAAAAAGGAATGAATATGATAGACGGCAGCAGCAATTTTCAAAGACAATTTGATTCTTACGAAATGAATCATGAAGCTTCAATTGAGATTCAGGCACAGCATAGTTCATAATGGTGATGATTTTTTGAAGACTTCAAACGCTCCTCGTTACCTTGCGAAGCAGGCGAATTAGAGAAGGCGGATGTGAAATGCTCCCTGCCACTACGCGGATTGTAGGCCTACATTCAATGTTTTCTTCCCATTGCTCATTTGTTGATACCGACTGACCTATTCCCTGTTCAACCTTGTTTCCTTTAATATACCTATCTCACCGAGCAAATGTGCATTATTGGAAGTCTTAGCAAATTTACCTTAGCATTTGGGTCAGCCAAGGCTAGAAAATCAGTGCCAAAAACGGTGTAACAAAAAGTCACCTGTGATAAACTTGGACCGTTGAACGTAATGGCAGACGCCGGCGGCGGTCTACTTACCCCGTCGGCCGGCCGACCGCCGTGCCCCGTAATGAGCGCGCTCTGAAGGTCTGGCGCCGCAGCCATTGGGTTACGTCACCGCCGGCGGCGGAAGAGGAGTCGGCGCGCGCGCGCGCGGTTTTCCGGAACATCCGTCCGCAGGGGAGGTGCGTGGGAAGGACACCGCCTCTGGCAGCACCAGATGCATCCCAAACAGGCACCGCCGCGGCCGCCGGGGGCCGCCAGCCTTGGAGTCGGCCCGCCCCCCGCACCTAATGAACAGCTGGCGAGACGTGGCGAGAAAATCGCTTAGCGAAGACATCCCGACGCCATTTAGGGCATTGTGATCGCCGAATGGAATTCAGAAACAGCTCTGAAGAGAGTCGACCAAGGCTACGTGGGTCAGAATGAACTGATATCGAGGTCGAGCTGGATGAGAACAGACGTAAAAATGTTTTAACTCTCATGGCGGGAATGAAAGAAGTGAAGTTATACGGGACAGACGCTGAATTTTAGCGTTTCATCTACTGAATAATGCTACAAACGACTCGGCCGTGGGCGACTGAGAGGGTCAGTGCGACTCTTCAGCCAGTAGTTCGCCGTACGTTCCGTTGTGCAGTTGACGGGAAGATACGGTGTGAATAATAATAGAATTAGCCGGCGACCTGAGTGAGAAAGCAACGTTGCGGAATTGCCGAGAAGCTCTGTTTCTATGATTTGTTAATTACGCTTATTGGCGTATTCGCATGAATGCATTTTTTATCACGACCTTTGTCTTGCCAGGTCGTAAGTAACGTGCATTGAATGAAGTGCTCGTAAAAGTCTCCATATCTGAATATCATTTCTTGATAAGCGAATACGGTGTATAATGCTGTTCCTCGAGGAGCAGGCTTAGGGTCTTGGAGATGGCGTTCGATCCCCCTTCCCCTGGGCAGGTAAAGGGTTAATCACTGGGCTGTTGTGACTGCAATCTATGAATGCCGAGGGTCACCAGGATGAGGAACGTCTTGCATCGGAAAAAGTCAAGGTCGGCGGGAATGTATGGGCACTCAGCCGTTTACGATAGGTCGCGTAAATACGGACCCGGGGCTGAAACGGCCCGTTACTGGGAGAGTATCGTGACGTCACGGGCGGGCGTGTGATGTTTGGCAAGGTTTATCAACAGTAAACCTACAGTAGGCCGGGGCTCGCCTCCGGGTCGTATGGTGATGCTGGGCCAGGTGGGGATGTCTAATTTTTGCACCGTTCTGTTCACTGCTGTGTTGTGTTCTGTCATTTGTGGAGTTGGAGTCACGTATAGGTCTCCCTGTGCATGATAATGGGAAGCAGAAAAACAATGATAATTGGCATAAGATAAGTCAAATATGAACGTTACCAGCGTCAGACATGTGCTTGGATCCGAGAGCTGGATCTATGATCTCAGTGGATCTCTCGACAAAATAGAGGGGTTGGATCTATGATCCGAGTGGATCTCTCGACAAAATTCAGGGGTTGGATCTATGATCCGAATGGATCTCTCGACAAAATTTAGGGGTCGGATCTATGATCTCTGTGGATCCAGCGGGCAAAAATTTGTGGAGGTCCTATGATCTGTATGGATCTCACGACAACATGTAGCCAATGAAACCCTTATCCTACATAATTGTACACCTTTCAGTGAAATACAATTGAGAATTATCACTTGTGGACATGGTTATTGGTTACCAAGAACATGCATATTGCTACTTTTTGTGACCAATTGTAACTTTTTCATGACAGCACTGATGACAATCTTATCAACAAGCTACAGCCACTTAAATTCAATGAACAAACAGTACAGACAGATGCAGTGGCAGCAGGGCACTGCAGATTTTCATTTTGGTCCCATTCTTTCCATGCAACGCCAGTAGGGCTAATGTTAAAACGCCAAAATCTATGGGGGGGGCACTGTACCCTGGTGCCACCCCCCCCCCCCCCCTGTTCTGCCGCCTATGGACAGATGTAAGGAAATCAAACCTGGAGGCCAAATAGGTCAGTTTTGTTAAAAATAATCCAGCAATCCACTTCTGCCAGGTATGAAATCCCAATCCAGAATGTTCGTATGAGCTATTAGTATGTGCAACACAATTTCGATTTAGTAAGAATAGCAAGTAGCAACCAACCTCTAATACTTTCCTAATAAATTTCAAGTTCAAAAATGGCATCAAGTTCTTCAGATTACCTACTTTTGGCACATCGTGCCACGTGTGGTGCCTTGCTTTGCTTTTATTATGAGAGAACCTCCCAAAAAAAGACAAACGAAATTCACAGCTCACGTTCTGGTAATGTGGTTTTATTACGTCATTATCGTTTGACCAATGAAAAATCTTGATTTGACCGAAACCGTAATGATTCCAAAAGATTCCCCGTGATAGGCCCTTTAAACTAATGACGTAAGATATTGTTATTCTTTTGAAAAGTGAATAAAATAAAGATGCAAGGCGCACACCGCTCAGGGCACTGTAAAACCATTTTAGCTTACGTTTACGTCATTAACACGCGCACTGCAGCGGGTCTGAGCCGAACACGAACTGCAGGGGGGGGGGGGGGTTGAAAACAACCCCCCCTGAGATCTCGAAAACGGCGCAACGTAGCGACAAGCGGTAAACGGCGTTGGATAGGTTAAGATGAGATCTACAAGAAATACTAAGATCATTTTTGGGTCAGGTCAAAAACGAGGTCACCAGAGGTCACCGAAGACAAAATGTTACGATTTTCACAACAGGAAGTTCGCGGTAGTTTTTCTTGAATAACTTGTCTTGCACACAAGACAGAGGATCGATTCGAACGCCATCGTTCTTAGCTCGTCAAGGCGCATCGAATGATATATAATATGACCTCGAAAGGTCAAGTTGAAAAATTGACCTCAGGTCAAGGTCATGACCTGACCGAAATAGGTCATGTTGCATATCATTCGATCCGCATTGACGAGAAAAACACGATAAACGTCGAACGGAGTCTCTATCTCTATTCAATCTCAAGTTATTGAAGAAAAACCGCTGGTGACCTCAGGTGACCTAAGATGACCTGGAGATCACCTTCCAAAGGTCATAAGTGATATGTTTCGGTGAAATCACCAACAGGGACCTGTAATACTATGATCCTGAGCGTATTGAAGTCATAGGATGGCATTCAGAGTAAGTTGAAATTTCTCCCATTGACTTCTAATGGGTCGGTCGCAAAAATGACCTGACCTTAGGTCATCGATATAAAAATTCCGAGATATACAAGTTGTAGCTCGTGATGACTTTACTATTTCCTGTGGGTTTCAAGATCATATCTCAACAACTGTGGGCTTGGTGGGATTGCAAACTTCGAAATTTACGTTTCGAGGTAGGGTCACTTGACCTGACCTGGTGACCTGACCATAGGTCACCTGGGGTCAAATTTTTACTCAAGGTGTGCAAAAGTTGGGAGAACAGGCATGCAAAATTTGGCGGCGCTACGCGCCGCCGTTTTCTCGCGATTTGCGAAAAACCACAGGGGGGGGGGGTTGAAAACAACCCCCCCTGCAGTGCGCGTGTTAAATTCAACGCTACAAAGATGATATTCACAAACAATCGTATCGTAAAATTATGTGAGGCAGATAAAATGAACATTCTTTAATCGCCTCGTGACTCAGAAGTGGCTGACATCTGGTGGCCGTTCCCTGAACTACTATAGGTAGGATCCGGCGGCCGCTCCGCAGGCAGACCGGCCGGTCTAATCTCACGAGACCTCGGATTTCGAATACTTTTTCTGTCAAAATTGGAATGCAATGCACATAATTCGACGACAAATTCCTCATAGATCACGAATAATGATTCTCATAGCCCATCATGCATCCTTTCACAGTCAAAAGGGCCCTGAACAAAGCGTCCCGTGGCACTTCGTAAGCAGCTGTATTGGTGATCACAACCAATGTTAGGGCGGTAAGGGCGGCCGATAAGGATATTGCAATCCGCCGAAAGAGCAAGGTTCCGGGCACATTGTCTGAACCCTCGCCGTAACGGTTTTCTACGTAGGTAGGTAGAGGTACCGCCCGATGCTTTGGAACCGCCCTGAGATCTTAAGAGCAGCATTCATATGCCGGCATAAGACATTCACCTTTTATAGCCCGTCACAGGCCGACGTGGGGCCCTCAGAAATAGGCATGG